GGTTCACGGGCTCCTCTTAGCCTGCTTCTGTCCGACTCCCAAACTCCCCACGATAACCCTAGACCTCTGGAATGGAAGGATCTGCTTAGGGTTTAGGGTTTAGGGTTTACTGTCTGGGGCACAGCTGAGAGCGTATAGGCGTTAGGGTTTGGGCTTTAGGGAACCCCACGGAGTTGTGATCCCACCCGAGCCACCCCATACCCCAGATTCGGCCGAAGCAGCCAGCAACAAACTCGCTTGGGGTTTCTTAGGGCAGAGGGCGGGGGGGGGGGAACTCGCTTGGGGTTTCTTAGGGCAGAGGGCGGGGGGGGGGGGGGTTAGGGTGTAGGGTTAAGGGTTTAGGGTTAGGGTTTAGGGTTTAGGGTTTAGGGTTTAGGGTTTAGGGTTTAGGGTTTAGGGTTTAGGGTTTAGGGTTTAGGGTTTAGGGTTTCGGGTTTCGGGTTTAGGGTTAACAGGGTACGAGTTGGGGCTGCCACTTTCCAGGTCCTGCCAGGGCACGCCCCAAATCCTGATTCATATACCCCCAATGCACCCTACACACTCTACTTACATGCCGTAAACCCTATAAAGTCCTATAGGCCCTATAAACTCAGACACTCTGCAACCCCTGCAAACCTCCTTGCATCGAGTGATCTCCAAGCCTACATTCCCCAAACCCTAAACCCTAAACCCTAAACCCTAAACCTTAAACCCTAAACCCTAAACCCTAAACCCTAAACCCTAAACCCTAAACCCTAAACCCTAAACCCTAAACCCTAAACCCTAACCCGAAAACTAAGTCTCCGAACGCTGAAGCATCCTCTACTCTCAAAAAACCCTCAAAGCCTGACGAAACTCTCTCAAATATGTTCCTGAAATATGATCCTCTTAAAGCCAATAAGAGAAAACATAACATGTCCCAAAGGGCTACCTAGCTGAAGCCCGAAAACCCCTCGAGAAAACTTGTTGCTCTAAATCCTAAACCCGAACCCTAAACCCTAAAAACTTGGTTGCTCTCCAGGGTCTTCTTGACCATGTTTAGCGGCAATAGCCACTGAGAAGTCGACGAAACGAAGCTAAAATCGCGCTCTGCGCATCAACGGCTCGAGCCGACTCGGGGCGGGCACCGGGGTGGACGGTTTAGGGTTTAGGGTTCAGGGTTGAGGGTTTAGGGCCCCAGTAACCCAGGAACAAAAAGGCTAGAAGGTTTCAAAGGCCTTATAACCTAAGCCCTAAAGCATGCAGATAAGGGCCTGCTCTGGGTCATAGAAGGGCTCCCTGTAGGGTTTGGGGTTTCGGTTTTAGGGTTTAGGGCTTCGGGTTTACTGTGAACGCCTCGCTATTTAAGGCCTTCGCCAGAAGAGGTCCCCTAGAGAGCAACCATGTGCCTTCACAAACAGTGGTTTCGGGTTTTGAGTCTAGCGTTCAGACCTTAGGGGCAATTCTGCAACCACGAATTCAGGCAGGTTCTGTTTTGTTAAAGGTTGAGAGGTGCAGCTGTTGCTCAGGCACTTCATTCCAAAGCACAAGATACCCAGTTTATTGCAGGCTTGTGTTGGATTCTCGATGCCGGGAGAGCCTGTTTGGGGGTTTATCGTCTGGTGTTTAGGGCTTCAAAAGCTGCTCAGTGCCGCTCGAGATAGGGATTTCCGAGTACCCCAAATACTATAGTCCTTCCTTAAAGGGACCCCAAAGAGGGGACCCTTATTTTGGGAAAAAGCCCCCTTGTAGCCGAGTGCAGAAGGGCGCCCTTTGGTGTCTCATGGTATTTGCAAGGGTTAGGGTTTAGAGTTTCGGGTTTAGGGTCTAGGGTTTAGGGTTTAGGGTTTAGGGTTTAGGGGTTTAGGGTTTAGGGTTAAGGGTTTCGGGTTTAGGGGTTAGGGTACGAAACCTCCAAGAAGGAGGGAACAAGGGGCAGCCCCGGAGGGCCCGTTATGAGAACTCTACCTCCTTAGAACCATCAGCCTTTGGGTGCTTATTTTTTGAACAAACACAATTCATTTACTAACCACTATTTGCTTAATTCTGGTTTAGGGTTTAGGGTTTAGGGTTTAGTAATTAGGGTTTAGGGTTTAGGGTTTAGGGTTTGGCCACCCAGAACATATTCTTCCTTATCAGGGCAATAGAGGGATTGCTATTCTTTGTGGTTCTTGAGCACATGGTAGCTAAGGGAAACTGAAGACAACTTGGAAATTCCACCCTAAACCCTAAACCCTAAACCCTAAACCCTAAACCCTAAACCCTAAACCCTAAACCCTAAACCCTAAACCCTAAACACTGGCCCTAAACCCTAACCCCTAAACCCCAAATAGACAACTTGGAATTTCCAGGGTACCGTCTTCGGAGAAGATCCAGGAGAGCTCCGGCATCGGCTTGACGTCGACCTTCTCGCATTTCATGGACTCGGAGTGTCTGTGGGAACCCTAAACCCTAAACCCTAAACCCCAAACCCTAAACCCTAAACCCTAAACCCTAAACCCTAAACCTTAAACCCTAAACCCTGAGCCCATGGCGCCGCAGAGCCTTAGGACGACATTGCGAGAGCAAGCAGGTCGCAAACCCACGTGCACTACTTCGGCCAAAGGCTGAAGGGTTTAGGGTTTAGGGTTTAGGCTTTAGGGTTTAATGTTTAGCGTTTAGGGTTTAGGTTTCAGGGGTCATTTCGGCCAAAGGCTGCAGTGTTTAGCGTTTAGGGCTTAGGGTTTACGGTGAGGGTTTCGGGTTTAGGGTTCAGGGTTGAGTTCTGACTTTAGGTAGATTTGTGTAGACCCTCAGCGGTCATCACAATTCCTAGTTTTAAATCTTTTTTTCCCCCCCAGGACGAAGAAGAAGAAGAAGAAGAAGAAGAAGAAGAAGAAGAAAGAAGAAGAAGAAGAAGAAGAAAAAGAATAATAAGAAAAAAGAAGAAGAGTAATAAGAAGAAGAAGCAGAAGAAGTAGAAGAGAGGATCCCGGAGGAAGGTTGCCCATACTCAGGGCAGGGGAGGTAGCCAGGCACCCGGATCATGCCTACTTGGGGGTTCAGGGTACTTATAACCCTAACTATAACTGTACCTATAAGCCCCCCCAAAAGTCCCCTAAGTAGGTTATAAGTAGACTTTTAACTGTGGTTATAAGTACCCATGAACCTCCAAGTATCTCCACACATCTTCAACCTTCAACTGGACCCCGTAGCTCCCGGCACCTCTGCATACATCGCCTGCACAGGCGGGAAGCTCTCCTGGTGAAGAGTGAAGGTTTAGGGTTTAGGGTTTAGGGTTTGGGGTTTAGGGTTTAGGGTTTGGGGTTTAGGGTTTGGGGTTTTGGGTTTGGGGTTTGGGGGTTGGGGTTCGGGTTTTAGGTAAGGTCACGCCGCTCATCATGGTCTCTCACAGGGTCCTGTTTGAATCATGCGGCACCTTACACTGAGGACAGGGCGAGAGAGGGGTCAGGACAAAAGGGGACACCATTTCGGAGAGCTGGACGTACTAGAGGTACCTTAGTAGGGTCCTTATTGTCAGGGGTCCTACTATTTGGGGGTCGATGTTAGCGGTCCCTGATTATTGTAAACCCCCATATCCGGATCCGAACATTTTTGTTGAGCTCCAAGCGTCCACTCGCACACTAAACCCTAAACCCTAAACCCTAAACCCTAAACCCTAAACCCGAAACCCTAAACCCTAAACCCCTGAAGCGCTCCTCTCGCAGCTGCGCGAAGTCTCGGGGCGCCACGAGCAGCTTCGAGGAGCTCCCTGCACTCTCTGGAGTTGTGCTCTCTTTTTTTGGGTTTTTTTTAAACTCCCTGAAGCCCTAAACCCTAAACCCTAACCCTAAACCCTAAACCCTAAACCCTAAACCCTAAACCCTTTAAGGGCTTCTGTTGGGCAGACATGGGCTTTCAATGAGGGTTCAGGGCTTCTTGAGGCCCCGCAAATCTGGCAAGACGCCAAAAGCCTGCAACCCATCCCCCCCTAAAACCTCAACCCCAAACCCTAAACCGCAAACCCCAAACCCTAAACCCCAAACCCTAAACCCTAAACCCTAAACCCCAAACCCAAACCCTAAACCCCTGAAGAAGAGGCTGAGAGCCTAAGCCCCAAAACTGTAGAGACCTGTCCAGGCTCACTTGGTGGCTAGATCCTCCACCCTGGAAAGCCCCTAGTAACAGTTTAGGGTTTAGGGTTTAGGGTTTAGGGTTTAGGGTTTAGGGTTTAGGGTTTAGGGTTTGGGGTTTGGGGTTTGGGGTTTGGGGTTTAGGGTTTAGGGTTTGGGGTTTAGGGTTTATGGGTTTACAAGCGTTCTGGTTTAAACCCAAAGCACCCCCTTCCCCCCCCCCCCCCCCCCCCCCCCCCCCCACGGCCCCACAAACCCCCAAGAAAAAAACCAAAAACAATAAACAACCGTGTTGCCCTCGAAACAAAACAAGGCCCAAACACCCGAAACCCTAAACCAAAAAAACCGTAAACCCTAAACCCTAACCCCCCCCCCCCCCCCCCCCACCCCCTCCCCCCCCACCACCCCCCCCCCCCCCCACCCACCACCCCCCCACCCCCCCGCACCACCCCCCCCCCCCCACCCCCCCCCCCCCCCCCCCCCCCCCCCCCCCCCCCCCCCCCCCCCCCCCCCCCCCACCCCCCCCCCCCCACCCCCCCCCCCCCCCACCCCCCTCCCCCCCCCCCCCCCAACCCCCCGCCCACCCCCCCACCCCCCCCCCGTCTGGGACCTGCCATGTCTGGGAGAAAGATCTTCTTCACACCTATGCTCCATTTTTTTGGTGGGGGTCAGGGTTTAGGGGTTCAGGGTTTAGGGTTTGAGGGCGCAGGGCTTGGCCGAAGACGCTTGGTTGAAGGAGCAGAACTGACCTGCCTTACAACCCTAAACCTTAAACCCGAAACCCCAAACCCGAAACCCTAAATCCTTAACCCTAGGCGTTTAGGGAATCTGTTGGGCTTCATGGGGTTTCAATGAGGCTTCAGGGCTTCTTGAAGCCTATTGCCTAAAAATGCCTAAAACTGAAACCTGCTCAAAATTCAGTTGCACTAGCTACGGATAGCCGCCCAGGAACCTTCGAGAGCATAGTCTCTCTGAGGGTTCAGGGCTAAGGGTTAGGCTTGAGGGTTTCTGGTGGAGTTTACGGCTTAAGGTTTAAGATTTCGGGTTCAGGGGCAAGCTAGGCCGAACAAGGAACCCAATTTCCTGTGGCCCAACGTCGGGAGTGCCAAGCAGTGGAACAGAACTTGGCTGAGGCACCCGTAAACCCTAAACCCTAAACCCTAAACCCTAAACGGCCCTAAACCCTAAACCTTAAACCGGCATAACCCAACCTTTGGACCCACTTGAAGGTCGGAGGAAGTGATAAGTAGGGGTATAAAGTAGCTGAATGAAGTTGTCCTATAGGCTACCATGCTTGTAACCAAACTTATAGCTGCCAATGAAGCTTCAAGTAACAGCCCATCCGATATCCGATACCCTGCCTGCTAAGCCCTAAACCCGAAACCCTAAACCCTAAACCCTAAACCTGCTGGCAGCTGGCATTCTCAAGTCTTCCGGTCTCAGCGGCAACCCTACAAAACTCCCAAGCCTGAAGCCCCTAGTCGTGCATAGACATCTCAAACCCTGCCTCCCAAGCCCTAAACCCTAAACCCTGAACCCTAAACCCGAAACCCTAGGCCCTAAACCCTAAACCCTATCTACCCAAGCCCTACACCCTTTTACTCTACCCCGCCTAGGCACCTCGAATAACCTTCATTAGGCTTAACTAGCCCTAAACCCTAAACCCTAAACCCCAAACCCCAAACCCTAAACCCCGAACCTCGACACCAAGCCGCCCAAATGACGCGCACACTGGAAGATGGTCGACCAAACTCGCTTCATTCGAAGCACGAGTGCCTTTTTTCTGGCTTGTGGGCTTACAGGGTTTATATAGGGTGTCGGGTAAATATAGGGTTTATATAGGGGTTATCTAGGGTTTTGGGTTTATATGGGGCTTATATAGGGTTTGGGGTGTATAAAAAAGTAGGGTTTAGGGTTGGTATAGGGTTTGGGGTTTATATAGGGCTTCTGTACGGTTTAGGGTTGAGGAGACAGGATGTAGATAAAAGCTTGCATAGGGTTGATGGTTTAGGGCATATGGGAGATAGGGTTTGGGGGGGGGGCCTTTGTCGCACACTCGTGCCCAAACTCCTGAAAGTACAGGGCGAAAGGCTTTCATGTCGACCCCTAAACCCTAAACCCTGAACCCTGGACCCTAAACCATCCGAAACCCTAAACCCTAAACCCTGAAACCTGTGAGGTCATGTGTTGAAACTGCAGACCAGCCCACAGGCCAGCGCAAGCGCTTCAGCTGCTCGACTCTCTACCCCCGAAACTGCTTGAAGCCCTAAGCATCCCTAAGACATAAGGGTTCAGTAGGAGGGTCTTGGGTCTAGGGTTTCTGGCTTAGGGTTTAGGGGTTTAGGGCTTAGGGTTACTAGTTTAAGGTTTCGGGTTTAGGGTTACTCGTTTAGGGTTTAGGGCTACTGGTTTAGGGTTTAGGGCTACCGGTTTAGGGTTTGTTTAGCAGCTTATGCGGCGTGGCGCCGCCTGGGAGACCGGCAACTCCATTGCCGACATAAGCCCTTCAGAACTACGGGTGATGGTTTAGGGTTTAGGGTTTAGGGTTTAGGGTTTAGGGTTTAGGGTTTAGGGTTTAGGGTTTAGGGTTTAGGGTTTAGGACAGGGCGCGGCCCACTTGTCATCATCCATGGGAAAGAAGTGCTGGTAGTCGGGCTCCGACGGGTCATCGAAGTTGTAGGGCACGGAGTTGATGACGTGAACATCGACGCTCACGCCGCCAACGTACCTGGATTCGGGTTGCTTAGGGTTTAGGGTTTAGGGCTTAGGGTTTAGGGTTTAGGGGTTTGCTTCTATAAAACCCTCTAAGCGTTGATTTGTCCAAATTACAATGAACATCAGAGATGGATCCCCACGACTGAACCTACGAGACCAGTCTCGATCCGGAGTGGAGCTTATGACAGCTACGCTATTTTGCGTATAGGTTTAGGGCTTAGGGCTTAAGGCTTAGGGCTTAGGGCTTAGGGCTTAGGGTTTAGGGTTTAGGGTTTAGGGTCGACTCCCCTTGTAACCACAAGCATCCCTTCTATTCTTAAATTTAGCCCCCTTGTGTGGTGTCTACTCCACAATAAACAATTATTACCTGAGGAAACTCTAGACGACTCCTTCTTGGCAAGTTTTGAACATCCGCCTCTAATCCCATCCGCTTATCCTTCACTAAATTGCCATGAAAAGTGCCTCGTAGTGTGTTTTCCGGGGGTTTAGGGTTTGGCGTTTAGGGGCCCGGGAGGGGGGGGTGAGTGGGGTGAGTGGGGTGCACGCTTGTACTTCATACAGGAGGAGGATCTCTGGGGACATGATCATTGGGCTCAGCGCGAAAAGTACCCACGCACCACAAAGTAGTCTTGGAATTGAGGGTTTTGGGGTTTTAGGGTTTTACAGTAGGGTTCAGGGTTTAGGGTTTGGGGTCTATAGGGTTTAGGGTTTAGGGTTTTGGCTTTAGGCTTTAGGCTTTAGGCTTTAGGCTTTAGGCTTTAGGGTTTGCCCCAACCGCAGCTCAGGGGCAGTGGCGTCCTGCAGTAGACCGCGATGTTTGGCATAAGCTGAGCCTTCGTGCTCAGCGCATAGGCACCGAACTTGTACCTTTGCGCCGCTGCGGCCCCTAAACCCTAAACCCTAAACCCTCAACCCTAAACCCCAAACCCTAAACCCTAGACCAGCAAGCCATCTCTTCCCGCCCCCGACCCTGAACCCTAATTCATCTCTGGCACGGGTTGTTTTCGGGCCCGGGGCTGAAATCCCTAAAGAGCCCTATACCCTAAACCCTAAACCCTAAACCCGAAACCCTAAACCCTAAACCCTAAAAAGCCTGAAGGCCTAAACCCAAAAAACCTAACCCCTAAACGCCCCAAGCCCGAGAAAGCTGCATTTTGTGAGAAGATCACACCCCCTCCCCCCGGCATAAACGGAAAGACATGGAAGACCTTATGTAGGGATTAGGGATTAGGGATGAGGGTTTAGGGTTTTGGGGTTTAGGGGGAAGCCTAAACGGATGGAAACAAAAGGGCTCCCACTTGGGACCAGAGTGAGACAACGCAAGGGCTGTAGGTCCACCACTGTGTCAGCGAGCCGCCCGAGCTTTGCCTCCAGCACGTTTGGGTCGTAGCGTCTCCTGGGTTTCGGGCTTAGGGTTTAGGACAGTTCTTACAACCCCTTTCAAGAAACATGATGCATAAGGTCCCTTCTACATGCAGTCCCAACAAAAACTAGAAAATCTAAACCCTAAAACCCTAGACCCTAAACCCTAAACCCTTAGACCTAAAGCATAAACCTTAGCAGAAGGCCTCCGCTGGACACCAAAACCCTAACCCCTGCACAACTAACTAAAACCCCAAGCCCCCGAAACCCGAAAACTCGTAAGTCCCGAACCCTAAACGCCCTAATCCCAAATCCCTGAACCCCAATTAAACCCTGAAGCTCAAAGAAAACCGCGAAACCTAGACCCTAACCCAAACCCCAGAACCCCCTTAAACAACCAAAAAGCCCTCAAACCTCCCTAAACCCCAAACCCTAACCAGGCTTAGGTCTACAGTGGGGGCGGCGCTTAAGGCTCGACCTCGATGGCGCAAGTCGACCCAGGTCGTTCGCCCGCCTCCCACAATCGGCCCACCAGAGCACGTTCTCCTCTTTTAGTTATTGCAGGGGCTGGCACCCTCTCTGGGACCTGAAACCCAAAGACCCGTTGAAACCCTCCTAAGACCTGCTGAGAAACCTTGCCAGCTCATCTGGAACCTTGGACTCCAACCTTGCGACTTGGTGACGGAAGACGTTTGATGGAAAGGAAGGCAGTTCCCTAAGAGGAATAGGCTGGGGTGGCTTTGCCGCCTTGGCGTGGGGTGGGAGAAGTGTGTTAGATGGCCTTCCACAATCGGGCCAGAGCTGCTCTTTGCACCTGACGAGGCTTTCAAGCCTCTGCTGCATCCTACCCTTCACCGCATCTACGCCATTAGTACTGCAAACCCTAAACCCTAAACCCTAAGCCCTAAACCCTAAACCCTAAACCCAAGACTAAACCCTAAACCCTAAACCCTAAACCCTAAACCCTAAACCCTAAACCCTAAACCCTAAACCCTAAACCCTAAACCCTAAACCCTAAACCCTAAACCCTAAACCCTAAACCCTAAACCCTAAACCCTAAACCCTAAACCCTCTCATCTCCGCCCCAACATCGGCCCAGGCTCTGCATGCCCACGTTGCAGGGCTCGCGCTGCCGCGCCATGAGCTCCACTATGGCCCGGTCATCGGCAGCAGCATGAAACAGCACCTGGGTTTACAGGGGGTTTCTACGGGTTGTTGGGTTTAGGGTTTAGGGTTTAGGGTTTAGGGTTTAGGGTTTAGGATTTGGGGTTTAGGATTTCGGGTTTTAGGGTTTAGGGTTTAGGGTCCAGGGCTTGGGGTTTAGGGTTAGGCTTTCAGGGCTTTTGGGGCTTTAGGTCTTTGGGGGGTTTGGAGTTTATAGGGTTTGTGGGGGCTTGTAGGGTTGGTAGGGTTCAGGCTCTGCAAGATAACCCCCTTGGTCATTGGCGGGTTAGGGTCTATAGGCTTTATAGGGTTTAGGGTTGCGGGCTTAGCTTGATTTTCTTTATCTGCTACTATGACTTCTCTTTATTGTTTCATCTATTTTCTTCGGGGTAGGCTTTCCAGGGTTTGAATGTTCAAACCTGCCAGCAGAATTCGGGCTTTCGGGTTTTAGGGTTGAGGGTTTAAAGGGCCATTTGGGCAGTGTACATTTTGTAGGGGTTCTGCAGGTATGAGCTTGGCAATTGTTTTTGCTCCCGTATTGCTTCCCGGCCCAGGGCACTACAAAGTTAACCCTTGGGCTCACAAAAAAACACCAAAAAGTTGCCTCAGCGGCATCTCGCGTCCCTAAACCCTAAACCCTAAGCCCCTAAACCCCAATACTCTAAACCCCTGAATCCCTAAACCCTCCGGGGGCGGGGGGGGGGGACGAAAAGTGTCTGGGGGGGGGGGGGGGGGGGGGCAAGGCGGAGGGTTTAAAGTTTGAGGCAAGCAGGGTTGGTCTAGTCAAAGGTAATTTAAAGGGTGTATCGCATACCCTAACCCCTAAACCCTGCTAGCAAACCCTGCAAAACCTGTAAACCCTGTAAACCCCGCAAACCCTGTAAACCCTACATCCTAGAAAAGGGTTAGTCAGTCGGGCGGTTGAGAGTTGGATGGGGGAGAGGGTGCGGGGTGGAGAGTGCTAGCAATCTGAAGCCCGAAAACGTACGCGAAGCAACTTTTATGACGGCAAAGAGTGATGGTCTGCAGGATCTGCGCTAGGTGGTCCAGAGGCGGGTCCAAGCTTCGGAATTTTGAAGCTTTATCAGAAGAGTTGATCCCTAAAACCTAAACCCTAAACCCTAAACCCTGAACCCTAAACTCTAAACCCCAAAGTAGCTTCGACATTTGCGACTTCGTCCTAAGCCCCTCTCTCTGGAGCCACCCCGGACCTGCGCGGCGTCCGGGTCTGCACAGCAGAACTGACGGAGCCATCGGCGCCATGTAGAGAACCATTGAGAGCGCCGTTTGGGACTGTGCTGTGGCGTCAGAGCAGAAAAATGCTTAGTCTGCAAAAGTGGCGGGATTAAGGGTCTAGTCTAGTTCGGGTTTACAGCTCCAGCTGCTCTGAACACCAGCCCGATAGGCCCGCAGACTGTCAGGGTCTGCGGGCCTCACCAATATCGAAGGAGTTTAAACCAAAGGGCCCAGCGAAGACGCGTACAAAGCTACCGCGGGAGGATTTAGGATTTGGGGCTTCTGCAGTAGTGATACGTACTCCGTCATGACTGGGCTGGGTCAAACGATCTTCGCATGCAAGAGATGTGGGGGTTTCCGAACATGGGGGTCCCTTCAAGGGGATTCTATTCTGTTTGGGAATATAAAAGGGGCTCCCCTATTTTGGGAAATACTCATATTCTGTCGATAGTAGCGATATTCCGTCACGAGTGGGCCGGTTCAAAGGTCCTTCGCCAATGCACGACAAAATTGAAGGAGAGCCTCAGTTGTTGTCGAAAGTCCTTGCACACAATCCGGATCCGAGCACAAGATCCCAAATAGAAACCCCGAACCCTTAGAGTTAAACAGGGCGACACAGCTCCTGTACCGGTGCAAGGACAAGTTGCAATAACAAAGGCCATCCATCTCTGTCGACAACAAACGAAATCATGGAACAGAGGGCCCTGCAAGGACTGACTTTGTGAGAAATGCCTCCGGTAGTTTCTGTCTTAATCTCTCGTCTTCCCAAGCAGGTGCCGCTTGTTGTCCGTGGCTCACTCAGACCACAGGTCCAATCTCCCGAGCGGGTACTAGGGACCTAGTCTACAGCCACTTGGAAGGTGTTGTTCCTACCATTTGAAGAGCCGGCTCAGAGTGTCCTTGATGATGTCTGCTACCTCCCCCGGGTGCTCCACAGGCTCTGACAAGGGGTAGGGGCGCGTCTTCTTTTGTTGTGATGACGAGGACGAAGATGGCACGCTTGGCATTTTCATGTCTTCGCCTTCCTTTGTTTCGTCCAAGCTCTCCATGTCCTCATCTGTGAGAGAGAACATTCGGCGCTTTTCATCCTGGCTCATCGCATCCAGGAAGGACTTCTCTTTCGCATCGAGGAAAGCTGCGTCCATTCCGTGCTTTTGGTCCAACAATGCGAGTTGGAGACGCTCCGTGTGCGAAGTGCATTGCATCTTGCGAAACTTCGGCTTGCCTGTCGTAAGAAAATTGCTGACTGCCTCATCTTCCTCCCATTCGTCGCCACCGCCTGGATAGAAAGTCATGTGGACCTTGCCTATCTTGGCCACACGTGCCATCATCTGCTCCGCTGTACTCTTGCTTGGAGCGGGTGGGTGGGGGGGGGGGCAGCAAGGAATTCATCAAAAGGTCCGAGCGCTCTTGGATTCGGTGGGGCTGCTGGGGGTGCGGCCGGCGTGGCCTTGGCCTTGGCCTTGGCCTTGGCCTTGGCCTTGGCCTTGGCCTTGGCCTTGGCCTTGGCCTTGGCCTTGGCCTTGGCCTCGGCCTCGGGCGCGGCACTGGGCCTGATGCTGCTCTCTGTTCTCAGAAACCCCGGCTACACATTAGTCTAATAGACAATTAGCACCAAGTAGAAGCGATTTCCAAAAACATGGTGGTTTCCGGAATTAGGGTACCTTATTCGGAGTCCTTATTGTAAGGGAATCCTATTCTAGGGATCCCCCATTTTCGTAAACATGATTGTCCTTGAGCTGGCACCCAAAACACCCCTAAACCCTAAACCCTCAACCCCAAACCCCAAACCCTAAACCCTAAACCCCAAACCCTAAACCCACCTTGAAGTCGAGCAGGCGGGCTGGGTTTCCCCGATCGGCTGCACGCCAGGACTGAGAGCTGGCTCCTGCAGTCCGGGCACCATCGGAGCATCAAGACACACCTCTTCCATGGTCCTTGGTCGGCAACCGTGGGATGGTGTTGGGGTTTAGGGTTTAGGGTTTAGAGTTTAGGGTATAGGGTTGAGGGTTTAGGGTTTAGGGTTGAGGGTCTAGGGTTTAGGGTTTCGGGTTTGGGGTTTAGGGTTAGTGAAAAAAGGGGCAAAAGGACACCACTCAGCTAGCAATAAGCCACAGACCCTGTATCACAAAAGCCCTAAAAGCCGTCAACCCCTTTGTCACTCACCCCAAACCGTAAACCCTAACGCCTAAAATCTTAAAGCCTAAACCCTAAACCCTAAACCCTAAACCCTAAAGCCTAAACCCTAAACCCTAAACCCTACACCCGAAACCCTAAACCCTAAACCCTAGACCCTGGACCCTAAACCCTAAACCCTAAACCCTAAACCCTAAACCCTAAACCCTAAACCCTAAACCCTAAACCCTAAACCCAAGCCCTTAAACACCTTTACCACTCGGCCACCAAGGGTCTGTCTGCCAAGTGCAGGTGCCGTCACACTGGCTTTGGGATGCTGCAGTGGCTGCGCCAGGTTCGGGACAGATCCCTAAACCCTAAACCCTAAACACTAAACCCTACACTTCTAACCCGGAACCTCAACCCTAAACCATAAACTCAAAACCAAATATGGTGTTGACTGTTGGCAGTTCTTTCAAGGGCTTTCAGGAAATCGGGGCTGGGCCTGCAGGATTTACATTTTGTAGGGTTCCCTTATGGACCCCCCCTGAAACCCAGGGGGGGTGGGTGAACCAGGTGTTTCGCCCCCCCCCCCCCCCCCCCAACCCTAAACCCTAAATCCGAAACCCTAAACCCTAAACCCTGTTCTACTTATTCCGACCCCTATAGTAGCTGTCTGGGGCAGACTGAAACAGGTCCCAGCGGCACTAACCTCCCCCCGAATCCTGGAGTTGGCAAAAAAGCTTTGGCAAATCGAGGTCATTTTTTCCGGGGTTCGGGAGGGTTTAGGGTTTAGGGTTTAGGGTTTAGGGTTTAGGGTTTAGGGTTTAGGGGAGTTTAGGGTTTAGGGTTTAGGGTTTAGGGTTTAGGGTTTAGGGTTTAGGGTTTAGGGTTTAGGGTTTAGGGTTTAGGGTTTAGGGTTTAGGGTTTAGGGTTTAGGGTTTAGGGTTTAGGGTTCCAAGCTGAGGTCGGCTCCGCCGTTGCCGCATAATCCTGCAAAGGGTGACAGTGCTTCGATGAGGATTTCATGGGTTCCTCCACGACCCCCCTCTATACTACCCCCCCCCCCCCTAGGGTTTAGGGTTTAGGGTTTAGGGTTTAGGGTTTAGGGTTTAGGGTTTAGGGTTTAGGGTTTAGGGTTTAGGGTTTAGGGTTTAGGGTTTAGGGTTTAGGGTTTAGGGTTTAGAATCCCCCCTTCTAAACAGCCTTGATTAAGGGGGGGTAGTATAGAGGGTTTCATGCGTTTCCCTTCTCCTCCCCTTTACACTGGGCCCCCCACCCCCCGCGCCCGCCCCCCCCCCTCCGCCCCCCCCCCCCCCCCCCCCCCCCCCCCCCCCCCCCCCCCCCCCTTTTCGGGTTCCCCCCTCAAAATAAGGGGGACTTGTCTTTGCCAGAGGCGCTAACCCTAAAGATCCTCACTCCTACAGACCCGTGGCCCTTTTCCGTTGGGATGCTCGTGGGCGGGTCCTAGGGTTTGGGGTTTGGGGTTTAGGGTTTGGGGTTTAGGGTTTAGGGCCCTAAGCAGACGACAGCAATCGCACATCATCATCGTCGTCGGCGTGAAATCATCGTCATCAGCAGCAGAAAGGCCAGGCAAAGCAACAACAAACCCACGCAGCAGAAAATATGGTTCTTAAGGGGGGCAGGTTCAAGGGGGGTAGGTACCTAGGGAACCTTAGGGAAGCTTAGGGAGCCTTAGGGAGTAGTGGGGGTATTAGGGAACCTTGGGTTACATACTCCCCTTGAAGCCCCCTCCCTTAAGAACCCTATAAGCATAATGAGACATACATTTAAGAAACTTGACCCCGTGTTGAAAACTATAACCAAAAAAACTAGCTAGAAGACTAATGAACAGTAACAACATCTGGACCCATGGGTAACCTAGGAAATAAAAATGGGTGCCCTTCTGGGTTAAGGGAGACCCAAACCCTAAAAAAAACATACGGGCCTACTCTGCCCTAAACCCTAAACCCTAAACCCTGAACCCTGAACCCTGAACCCTGAACCCTAAACCCTACACCCTGAACCCAGACCCCTAAACCCTAAACCGCAAACCCTGAACCCTGAACCCTAAACCCTGAACCCTATTCCCTACTCTGGGTCCTAGAGCCAAAAAGTCTGGGCTCCCCCAACCTGCAGCATTCCCTTGCTCAGCGACTGGAGCACCCAGTCCGCGAGGCAGGCGCCTTCACGCGGGCGCTAGGTGTTCGGGGGAGGGGAGGGGGGGTAGGCTTTTGGTTATAGGGTTGGGGGTTTAGGGTTTAGGGTTCGGGGTTTAGGGTCTTAGGGCAGAAACCCTTCTTAGGGGCCAAAAAGGTCTGGGGGGTTTTAGGGTTTATGTAGGGTTTAGTGGTGGCCACAAAGCCTAGGGTTTGAACCTTAAGGAGTTAGTTTTGCCCTGATGTGTTCCAGGACTTTACTCCATCATGGCTTTAGGAGACTGGTTTGGGGTCAATTGGTTGAGGCTTTACTTTAAGTAAGTTACTTCTCCAATAGCCAAGGGCAGAAAAGGTGATAAACTGCGTTAGTCCTACTAAATAAGGACACCCCAGACAATTTTAAGCTCAACTACTGGCAACGTAAGTTTAGCAAGGGGTTTAGGGGTTGGGGGCTTGGGTTTGGGGAAAGGGGTGACACAGAGGTCCCCTGTACTGTAGTACGGCTGCGAGCTTGCGATTTTGGCAATGTCAGGGTTTAGGGTTTTGGGTTTTGGGTTTAGAGCTACCCCTAGAGTTAAGGGTTTAGGTTTAGGGTTTAGGGTCTTAGGGTTTCAGGGTTTTAGGGTTTTGGGGTTTTGGGGTTTTAGGGTTGTAGGGTTTCGGATTTGGGTTTAGGGTTGTGGCTACATTACTCAAGAACCCAACATATATCAAGTGGCAGGGCCGGCTTTGGGGGGCAGATGGTGCTTGCGGCTTCGGGGGCTCTATATCCTAACCCGACCTTCAAGGTAGCTGCACTGCAGAGCCAGAGCTCGTTGATGGCACTCATCCCAGTCCCAGCCACCTGTCTCATTCTAAGGGTAGCTACATGGTCCCTTGGTATGGGCTCTTAAAAGCATACCCCTTACATACCCCCTTATATACACTAGACAAATTCAGGGCCCATACATCAGGACCCCTTTAACGGACTTTCTCAGACTCATGGCCAAGGCACCGGGGGGTCCTGAGCCTGCACCATGAGGCTCAGGGTTTAGGGTACTTGGGATTTCGGCTTTGTTACACTTCAACCCTTTGACCCTAACTGGGGTAGGCTTTGGGGGCCTTGTAAGGAATACATAGGGGATTAAGGGTGAGAAAAACTCGGAACTATGGTTCAAAACCTTGCCCAAAGGCCTTCAGGGACCAAGCCTAAACCCCAGCGGAGTGGCTGCCTCGGCAACGCACCGCAAGGCAAGAGCATGAAACAAAAACATCGCGGTTTAGGGTTTAGGGTTTAGGGTTTGGGGTTTAGGGTTTAGGGTTTAGGGTTTAGGGTTTAGGGTTTAGGGTTTAGGGTTTAGGGTTTAGGGTTTAGGGTTTTGTAATTTAGGGGCCTTCGGTCCCTCAAAGACACCCAGAAGATGGATGGGACCCAAATCTAAAACCCTAAACGGTATAGAGACAACAAAGAGCCCCTGAGCCCTTCATCGACACATACGAGAGACTAGCAAGCTGAGAGTTCGCGGCCCACGAGGGTTTAGGGTTTAGGGCTTAGGGGTTTAGGGTTTAGGGTTTAGGGTTTAGGGTTTAGGGTTTAGGGTAGAGACCCCCCACCCTCCGGAAGAGAAAAGGACCACAACCTTCAACCCTAATGACTTGAAGGTTCACGGGTGGTTGCAACCAGGGTAACAAGTAATTACTCTAATAAGGTTCCAATATAGGCTACCTTGCAAAACACAGCCCTATACTTCTAACTATCCATGAACCCTTCCAGTACACCCTGTGAAACCCGAAACCCTAGACCCGTCTAAACCCTAAACCCTAAACCCTAGACCCTAATGTTGGACTGGCTTTAGCATAAGGAGGGTCTATAATCACCAGTTTCGAAAATTTATTCAGCGAACCGAGTTTCTCGGGGTACCGTCTATTATCACAAGTTTTTCCGGACTTTGTTTCTTGTTTAAGTTTGTGTTTTGGTTTAAGGGCTTACGCTGTAAGGCTTGAGGCCCTGGGGGTCTTGGCCTCCAGGAATCTCAAAGGGCCAGAGCGCGGAGAATCCAGAACCATATAAAGCCTTATGGAAAGTCATTACGAAACGAGGCCCCAAACAAATTTTGTGATAGGTAGCCCACGGGCCGGACAGGCTGTCTTTAGTAAGTTTGTCTGGCTACCCTCTATGGTACCAAGCTTTTTCGGATGATTTTTTAAAGGTTTGTGTTTAGGGTTAAGGGGCTGCTTGAGGCCCTGAGGGCCTTGGGCTCCAGGCTTCAGGCCTTGAGGTCCTCCTAAAGGCTTGAAGCCCTGAGCCCCCCCCCCCCCCCAATTTGTTTGGCGGGGGGGGGGGGGGCATACTAAAGACAGTGCAACATTAGACCCTAAACCCTAAACCCCAAGCCCTAAACCCTGCAACTGCCGGCCTTCGGTGTCTGCTGCTTCCGCCTCCTGGAGAGCAGGTCGGACGACTCTCTCTTTCGAATGATGCTTTTTTGGGGGGTGGTTTAGGGTGTAGAGTTTAGGGTTTTGGGAATAGGGTTAAGGGTTCAGGGTTTGGGTTTTAGGTTTCAGGGTTCAGGGTTTTGCGTTTTGGGGTTTAGGGTTTAAGCTTTGGGGATTGGAGCGTTGCGGTGTCATTGATTGGCTCAGGGCTATTGGGGCTTTGGGCACTGGGCTCAGGGTTTGGGGTTATCAACTACCTCCCTCTATACTACTTTGGGATAATTGAGCCTAATCAAGGTTATTTCAGGGGGCAACCGAGCGGGGGTAGTATAGAGGGGGGGGTAGAAGGGAAGCCCATGAGGTTACGGGTTTAGTCTCGGGCTGTCTGGAACATACTTGGGCAAGGCATATTCAAGTGATTGAAGGTCCGTGGGTAGTTAAAAGTAGGGTGAGAAGTAAGGGTAACCTATATTACGTATAACCTCAACTGGTACGTATCACCCTACTTCGAAATACCCATCAACCTTAAGAGCTCTAAACCCCAAACCCTAAGGTTTAGGGTTTAGGGTTTAGGGTTTAGGGTTTAGGGTTTAGGTGCTTACGACTATCCATGAACCTTTAAGTCGCCTTTCTGCAGGTGCAAGGGCCATGGGAGAGCCTCGTGGCTCTGCACGCCACGCAGGTTGTGCAACCTCGGTTGCTTGCAAAAGAAACAGAAGAGTTTAGGGTTTAGGGTTTAGGGTTTGGGGTTTAGGGTTTAGGGTTCAGGGTTTAGGGTTTAGGGTTTAGGGTTTGAAAAGGGCCTCAGGGCTTAGAGATTATCATCGAACCCTCTATGATGTCCCACCCCAAGGTCCCGTGCTTAGTTGCGTAAGCTTGAGGTTGGACAGAGTTTAGACCCTAAACCCTAAACCCCAAACCCTAAACCCTAGATGTAGCTTGTGTTGAAAAAACAACGGGGCTGAGGGCTTGGGGTCTATTCAGGAAACCCTGCGCCCTGAAACCCCTTAAGCCCCCAGCCCCTACCTTAAGAAACCAGAACCTACTTCTTTTCGTAGGTTCTTGGTATAAGACCCTGTATACTGGGATTTTCAGGTCACCTACAACAAGCAGGGTTTGGGGTTTCGAGTTTAGGGTTTAGGGCTCAGAGTTTAGGGTTTGTGATCTAAACGAAGGTCAGCCGAGCGGCCAGTGGTCGGTCTTCTGCCACAGCTTGCCTCCCACGTCTCTCACCTTCTCGGCAGCCTGCCCATCTCTTCGAGTTTCGGATGTTCAGGGTTTTGGAATCAGGGTTCAGGGTTCAGGGTTTAGGGGTTTCGTGGGGTTCAGGGGTTGCTTCCTAAACCCTACAAAGCCCATATAAACCTAAACACTAGACCACTAGAACCCTTAACCGCTAAAACCCTAACCCCTGAACCACTAAAACCCTAAACGGCCCTAAACCCTAATTAGGGTTTGAGTGGCTTATGGAGATCACCCTAAACCCTACAACCTAAACCCTGAGGGTTTAAGGGGTTTATGGGGTTTAGGAGGTTTATCGGGAACACAGGCGGCGATGGGTATGTTGAAAGACCTCGGGGGGGGGGGGGGTAGATGCTTTACTCTCAATTGGGTTATAGGCTTGCGGGGCTTATGAGGCCTACAAGAGTTATGTGGCTAGGCTTTGGGGTTTAGGGCTTAGGATGGTGGCAGTTTCTTTTTGGATCCCTTCAGGACTCTCCAACATCAAAAGCCGACGGAAGAGCTGGGACCACAGAAGCGTAGTTGTTCTTGGGATCACTTCTGAAACAACTAATTCTGTGTAGCAGAAGGATCTGCCGGTACAGGGATTCGGGCTAAGCCTTTTTGAGTTTGGCTTCGGCTTTATGAGGGAAAAATCCCAATAACAACGCGCAACACACAGAGCGTATGTGCAGCTGCAGCGTGGGTGGCCTGCATACCTTCGGTTTGAGCCCACACTGGACGCTGCAACTTGATCACAAGCTCATCGGCTGAATGGGCTGGGGAGAAACTCCCGCAGAGAAAGTCCTAAACCTAAACCCCATACCCCCAAACCTATGATGGCTTCGGAGACTTTAAGTAGTTGCTCTACCAGTAGGGCCCCATTTTCCTGCCCCCAAAAAGAGTAGAATACCTATGGAAGGACCTGCTCCGCCCACCCCCCCATCCCCCCATCGGCGTTCAGTCACACTTGCTTTAGTTTGTGGCTTCCAGGGTGCGCTTTACTTTGTGTTCTTCAGGGCTTGTGGTGTAGTTCAGGGTGTAGGGTTTATTTAGGTTTACTTCGGGTTTAGGGCTTAGGGAATTAGGAAAGTCGAACCATTCGAAAGATTCGAATCGATTCGAATTGTATAAACCCCAAAACAAAACTCAAAGCCTAAACAGACGAGGCTCTAAGCGCTTAACACCTCCGCGGGAGCGACCCTGCTTTGCAGAGCCGTCCAGCGATCTCAGGCATTTTGTGTGACCCAAAAATATCTTGCACCATAAAACACCGAACCCTAAGCCCTGACCCCTAGACCCTGAATACCGAACCCCTAAACCCTAAACCCTAAGCCCTAAGCCCTAAACCCTAAACCCGAAATCTGGTCAATCGTCTTCAGGGTTCGTGTGGTCGAAGAGAACGTGGATGCCATCGTCTTCCACATCGTCTTCCCTGAGCTGCTAGACCCCAAGGCCCTCCAATTACTTCACGGTTTAGGATTAAGGGTTTATATAGGGTTTAGGATTTAGGATTTAGGATTTAGGATTTAGGGTTTAGGGTTTACCGAACAAGTTTAAAGGTTCAGCTATTAGGTGTTTGGGGTAGGGCTCGAAGTGCACTGAACGGGACCCTCAATATAAAAAGGGGAAGGGGTTAAACTTAGTAACCGGTCTTAACAACTACTTACTACGCTCCCGGATCCTCTGAGTAAACCCTAGACCTCACGGGACTTCGAGGTATTTGTGGGGGAGGGAGGGCTCAACCCTAAACCCTATTCCCAAAACCCTAAGCCCGAAAACCCTAAACCCGAAAACCCTAAACCCTGAACCCTACTGCAGGTGCTGCTCGGATGCGGTGGAAGATACTTGGAGCGGTTGTCCGCGCCGGCGCTTTCAGGACGCTCTCGAGGAAGGTTGAAGGGATTGGCAAGGAGACCTGCGAGGTTAGGGTTTAGGGTTTAGGGTTTAGGGTTTAGGGTTTAGGGTTTAGGGTTTAGGGTTTAGGGTTTAGGGTTTAGGGTTTAGGGTTTAGGGTTTAGGGTTTAGGGTCCGCCGACCCTGGCAGCGTGTTTGATGGGAAAAGGAGGTGAAAACCTCCCTCTTTCCCTCCTTACCCCCCCAAAACCCCGGGGGGGGGGGTGGTAGGGGGGGTCGGTGCACCCACCCCGTCTTTTTGGCTTGAGCTTGTCCTGACCCCTGCCGTGTTGTGGGATGATCTTCGAACCATGCGAGCGGGTTTAGAGCTCTCAACTATGCTGTAGCGGGGTCGGCGGCTTGAGCCGGAGCTTTCCCTATTTACCCCGATGAGGGGGTAGGGGGGGTCGGTGCACAATTTTTTCGTGGAGGACCGCGCCACCTGCAGAGGGTAGGGGCGTCAGCAAAATCAGTTTTTCGACCCCCACCCCCCCAACCCCCCCTACCCCCCCCCCCCCCAACCCCCCCTACCCCCCCCCCCCCCCCCCCCCCCCCCCCCCCCCCCCCCCCAATCCCCCCCCCCCCCCCCTACCCCCCCCCCCCCCACCCCCCACCCCCCCCCTCCCCCCCCTCCCCCCCCCCCTCCGTCTATTTTCTGGCTGCCTTCTGGGCTGTTTGGATCCTGCTGCCCACCCCCCCCCCCCCCAACGTTTCACAGAACTCTGCCGAGCAGGCTGGGATGATCTTCGAACCATGCGGTGAGGAAAGCATCCTTTGAGCCGACGAGTGGGTTTAGACCTTTCAACTATGCTCCAGCGGGGTCGGCGGCTTGAGCCGGAGGCTCTTAAATCCGGCCCCCGCGCCGCCCGTGGTCCAGGGCGGAGCCCGCGTCGCACCAAAGCGCTAGCTTTAAGGGGCGAGCGCCCGAGCCGCCGACCCCGCCCAAAATTGCTTCAAATTCGCGCGGGGCCCTTCGGGAGGCCTCCAAAACGGCATCCAAGGGGACGCAACACGCAGTGGTGCGAAAAGCACGAAAACCTCGTAAAAACCATGGGTTTTTACGAAAAACCGAGGCCACAAAACACCCGCAGCACCCCGTTAAACCCTCACGGGCGCGCATCATCGGCCCTAGCTTTTCACATGGGGCGCGCGCCAGGCCGAAACCACGTTTTTCAAGGTTTGGGGGGGGTACCGGAAGCCCAAAACCAGGCGAGCATCATGAGCATCAGCAGCCCTGGCCCGCGGGCCCAAGGCAATAAAAAACGCTGAAAAACGCTGAAATCACCGTAAATACCGTGTTTTTATGAGGTTTTTCACGCGTGCCTCCGACCCCCACCCCTGTTGCCCTTGACCCGCCCCCAAAGTGCGCATCATCGAAACCCACGTCCGGGGGGGGGGTCTGCTGATGCTGCTGATGCGCGGGGTCCGGGCGCATCATCGAGCCATCGTTTCTCATGGGCTTCGTGGGGGGGTCCGGGCCCACGGCCCAGAGACCCAGCTGATGCTCATGATGCTCGGTTTGGGGGGGTGTTCCAACAGCAGAAAACCTCGTAAATACCGAGTGTTTTGTGGGTCCACGTAAAAACGCCCCTAAAATCGCTCATTTTACGCGCTCGAACGGCTTCGTGCCTACAAAACACCCGAACAGCAGGACCCCGAATGCCCTTAAGGGCATTCGGGGTCTTGCTTTTGGGGGTTTCGTGGGCACGCAAGCGTTCAAGCACATACAATCGGCGTGTTTAAGGGGGTTTTGGATGGCCTGGGGGAGGCCGCTGATGCTCATGATGCTCCCTTTCCTGGGTCCCAAAAGGCTTCCCAAGCCCAAAAACACGTGTTTACAGCGTTTTCTGAAGGTTTTTCGAAGGCAAAACGCATGCATAGAATGCTTTTAAGGCCCCCAAACCAACCCCACTGATGCTCCTGATGCGGGTGCGCGTGCGCGCGCGCGCGCGCCGGGGGGGGGGGGGGGGGAGGGAGGGGGGGCGAAGGCAGGAGAAAGAGAGACAGAGAGAAGGAGAGGACAAAGACACGGGAAAGAGAAGACAGTGCCAAGGTTCAAGGTTTCGTGCTTTGGGGGGCGGGGGCCGGCCCGTGCCGCTAGGCCTGAAATTTAGAGTTTGGGGTCTAGGGTGCGGGGTTTAGGGCTTTAGGGTTTCGCGTAAGGTTTTGTTCTCGTTTCCCACAAGGACCCCCAACCGTAAACCCTAAAGACTAAACCCTAAACCCTTAAACCACAAATACTTATAGAGACCTTAATTTCTATGCCTGGTTCCTGCAGAAGAGTCGAGTCTTGAGTATATACAACCCAAGGGCCCATACTTCAGAACCCTTTGAAGGAGGCAAGGGACCATATTAAGCGCCCATTTTACTACTCTTAGACCGAATTGAAGTCTGGGACCCTAGTATGGGGACATGGGCTCTCAAGGGTTTGGGGTTTAGGGTCCAGGGTGTAGGGGTTTAGGGTTTCGTGCTTTTAGGGCGTATGAACTGGGATGTTCCCCCGTTTCCGAACAGTCCTTAATAGTTATCATAGTACCCCCCCCCCCCTACAATCCCTAGTAATGACTGGTAGGATAAAGAGGAACATACCCTAAACCCTAAACCCTAAACCCCAAACCCCAAACCCCAAACCCCAAACCCTAAACCCTAAACCCTAAACCCTAAACCCTAAACCCTAAACCCTAAACCCTAAACCCTAAACCCTAAACCCTAAACCCCAATCCCAACGCAGGAGGTTCTTTCCTCGAAGCTCGCGGCTCCCCTGGTTTTGCCGAGAGGCTCTGCTCCACCAGACGGCGTGGGGAGGGGAGCCCGGTCCTCAGCTGGTTACCCTAAACCCTAAACCCTAAACCCTAAACCCTAAACCCTAAACCCTAAACCCTAAACCCTAAACCCTAAACCCTAAACCCTAAACCCTAAACCCTAACCCTAAACCTTAAATCCTAAACCCTAAACCCTAATTAAAACGATACACCCTAAACTCTAAGCCCTAAAGCCCTAAACCCTAAACCCTAAGCCCAAAACCCTAAACCCTAAACCTTAAGCCCTAAACCCCCAAACCCAAAATTATGAGGATCAGGGTCGTTCCCTCAAAGGGGCAAAAAGAAAACTAAGCACATCTTTCCCCAATAAGGAGCGAGTAACCCTAAACCCTAAACCCTAAACCCTAAACCCTAAACCCTAAACTCTAAGCCCTAAACCCTAAACCCTAAACCCTAAACCCTAAACCCTGTCTAGGTATGTTCAGAGGGCACCAGGAGGCTGCACAGTAGGGGAGGGCGGTCTATGGAGGCCCCCTTCCTTTTGAGGGTTTAGGGGTTTAGGGTTTAGGGTTCAGGGGTTTAGGGGTTTAGGGGTTTAGGGTTCAGGGGTTTAGGGTTTAGGGTTTAGGGCTTGGGGGTTTAGGGTTAGGGCTTAGGGCCTTCTTCGTAGGATATGGACCCTTGCAAACCCCTCAGGTCCCAATGATCAAAGATCTTTCGGAGCTTCTGCAAGTGTTTGCGTAGAGTAGCCAAAGCACTCAACGGGCTTAGGGGTTTAGGGGTTTAGGGGTTTATTAACCCTAAACCCTAAACGGCCCTAAACCCTAACCCGATTTTTGCTTTTGTACTTACGGGGCTCGTGTGGCCTTGTACTTTGGCTTGTATGGGGCAATGACATAGGGTTGGAATAATTGATAGTAGAATTCCCTGACGGCCCCGGAAATCATTATACCAGAATGAAACCCAAGTCCCTATTCTTCATAATTAACGCCCCTATATTCAGGGTTTAGGGTTTAGGGATTAGGTTTTTGTGGCGGGTGTTCGACTTGTTGGTGAGTTCCGTCTCCTATGGCAAGCCATGCTACCTGGGATGAAGTCTTCCGGAACCTAAACCCTGAACCCGACACCCTTCGGGTTTAGTAGGTGCTTCAAGGTTCGGGATTTGGGAAGAAGGGGTGACGGATTGGGTGAGATCTCTTGGCTCGTAGGATCTACTTAGTTGTTTGCCGGAACTAGATAACCGTAAACCCTACACCCTAAACCCTAAACCACATACCAAGCAGGCAGGGTTGTTTGGGCACCCAGTTCCAAACTGCCGATAGACAAACTCTCCCTAACGCCTAAACCCTACGAGTACACTTAAACCCTAGGTTTTATGTATAGCGATCCAGCCCATAAGCTGGGTTCTGGGACAACAGGTTAGGGTTTAGGGTTTAGGGTTTCGGGTTTAGGGTTTTTGATTTAGGGTTGACTCCGAGTGGCGGGACCTCGCTGGAAATGGACGCCGGCACTGGCGACGGGCCCTTGCCTGCACTGGCTACCACCTCGGACATGGCGTGCATGTGCGGCCAGTCCGCCCCGGACATCTCCATCAGTTGAGTCGTCCTCTCCTCTACTGCTCTTTCAGCCGCAGAAAAAACATGTTTCGAAGCTCCGCATCCAACCAACAAAGCTGAACCCTGAACCCTCAACCTTACAAAATCTCGCAGTACCCTGAACACTAAACCCTAAACCCTAAACCTTGGGTCGAACGCCTTCGTTTGCCCCGCCCAGGTGTCCCTCATCGCCATGTGGGCTCAGCCGGGTTTAGGTTCGTGCCTGTAGACTTTCGGGTTTAGGGTTTAGGGCTTTTGGGTTCGTACCTGTACCTCGCCATTGCCCAACCATGACTACGTCCATGCTACCAGTGCATGCACTTGTCAGAACACCTGCGCACAGCCACGAATTCTTTCTGTTTGGCCCTGCAGGCTTGGAAAGTGTGTTTTCCTCGAGTTTTTGCACAGTTTGTCAATGCACATCACCATGATTACGTCCATGCTACCAGTGTGTCCACTTGCCAGAGCACCATTGCCCAACCATGATTACGTCCATGCTACCAGTGCGTCCACTTGCCAGAGCACCATTGCCCAACCATGATTACGTCCATGCTACCAGTGCATCCAATTGCACCATTGCCCAACCATGATTACGTCCATTATAAATGAGCTCTTCAACCACAAGGACGTTCTTCTGCCGGGGTAAAAAGCAGTTCTGCCTGCAAGTACACAACATTTCCGCGCAGAAATGTCGGGTTTTTTGGGTTTGCAAGCTTGCCATTCCTCTAGACACTACCAGACATTGTTCATGCCACCTCTCATCACCCGAACTGGACGCGAAAAAAACTCGGGTTTTTGCCGCTTTCTGCTTGGTATTCCCGTGTTTCGGCGACGCCATGTTCAACAGGCAAAAAGACGATTTCATCGCCCCTGCCATGCTTTGCAACAACTGCCCCGACAAGAAGCGGGGCAAACGATGGTGGTCAACCCTAAACCTTGAACCTAGACCTTAACCCCCCCTGGAAACTAAAAACACATAACCAAAACATACAACAGCTTCCCAAATGCGTCAAACACACCCTAGGCTCAACAAAAATGAACCCTTAAACCCCTGAACCCTAAAATCCAATCCCCTCCTTCTCTAAACCCTAAACTCTCCCCTACAAAACCCTACACTAAAGCCTAAGCCCTAAGCCCCAAGGCCTAAACCCTAAACCCTAAACCCTAAACCCTAAACCCTAAACCCCCTCTCCTCTGCGGGGAAGAGTTCGGCCAGGAGCTGAAGGCCACCAGCTCGCACGGCATCATTGCGGTTCGATGCCATCCACAGAACTTTCTCGAAAGCCTGTTCTCTCAGGGTTTTAGGGATTTGGGTTTAGGGATTTGGGTTTAGGGGTTTAGGGTTTTAGGGTTTAGGGGTTTAGGGTTTTAGGGTTTTAGGGTTTTAGGGTTTTAGGGTTTTAGGGTTTTAGGGTTTTAGGGTTTTAGGGCTTTAGGGCTTTAGGGTTTTAGGGTTTTAGGGTTTTAGGGTTTTAGGGTTTTAGGGTTTTAGGGTGTAGGGTTCATGGGTTCAGGGTCTAGGGTCTAGGGTTTCTGGGCCCGGATTCTTGGGTATGTAGGGGAAATTTGGGGTGTAGGGGAGGAGACTAGGGATCCCTAAACCCTAAACCCTAAACCCAAAACCCAAAACCCTAAACCCTAAACCCTAAACCCTTCAGGAATCAGGGCTTTTGGGGTTTGGATCTCCTGGTCCCTGAGACTGGGGAGGTGCAGGGACGCGCCCAGCATCGCTTTGACAGCTCTCCGTAGGATCATCATGCACGCCTCGGAGGGACTCGAGGGCTTGGGTTTAGGGTTTTAGGGTTTAGGGTTTATAAGGGTTTAAGGGTTGAAGGCCTCTACAGGGATTTGAGGGCTGTTAGGGGTTTAAGAGTTTAGGGCTAGGGCTTAGGGTTTAGGGTTCAGGGGTTTGGGGGTTTAGGGATTTAAGGGTCATGCACGCCTCGGAGGGACTTGAGGGTTTGGGTTTAGGGTTTTAGGGTCTAAGGGTGTAAAGGTTTAAGGGATGAAGGGTTAAGGGGTTCAGGGGTTCAAAGGTTTGAAGGGTTGAAGGGTTGAAGGGTCTAAGGGTTTGAGGGTTTAAGGGTTGAAGGGTTGAAGGGTTGAAGGGTTGAAGGGTTGAAGGGTTGAAGGGTTGAAGGGTTGAAGGGTTGAAGGGTTGAAGGGTTGAAGGGTTGAAGGGTTGAAGGGTCTAAGGGTCTAAGGGTCTAAGGGTCTAAGGGTCTAAGGGTCTAAGGGTCTAAGGGTCTAAGGGTCTAAGGTCTAAGGGTTTAAGGGTTTCAGGGCTAAAGGGTTTCAGGGTTTAGGGGTTTGGGGGTGAGGGTTTTAAGGGGGTTTAGGGGTTTAAGGAGGTTAAGGGTTCAAGGCTTCAGGGGTTTAAAGGTTTTTTTTCGGGTTCAAGGGTTCAGGGGTTTAGGCATGCCACGTGCTGAGCCACGTTTGGAGGCACTGCATTTTTTGGGGCTTATGGTACCATTTTTAAACATGCCCAAATTTTTTCAAAGCGTACTTAGACATGAATGTCTAAAAATAGCATTCCACAAACGATGGAAGCTGTACGACAAAGAGCTGACACCACAGTCGACAGTTGGCTTTCAAAACACCTTAACAAACAACAAGCAATGCCTCGAAGTCCTGAAATCCTGAAACAGAGATCCGCATATCCCTAAACCTCGAATTGCAGTCACTAAACCCTAAACCCTAAACCCAAAACCCAAGACCCTAGACCCTAAACCCTAAACCCTACACCCTACACCCTAAACCCTAAACCCTAAACCCTAAACCCTAAACCCTAAACCCTAAACCCTAAACCCTAAACCCTAGCGCCTCGTCCCTTGTCTTCTGCGTGGGGTTGTACGCCGTGGCTGCAAGGAGCGTGGTCTCCTTCTCAAGGCCTGCAGTCATGGTGGCCATGGCCTGCGATCCAGGCGCTAGGGTTCAGGGTTTAGGGTTTAGGGTTTAGGGTTTTGGGTTTAGGGTTTTGGGCTTAGGATTTAGGGTTTTGCATTTGGGGTATAGGGTTTCTTGAAGGTTCAGGGGTAGTTACAAGTCGGGGTATTACACGTGCCCTAACTATGGTTGTAATAGACATGACCTTACTTGTAACCCTACTTATACCCATCGACCTTCAAGAAGGGAGTGGAGTTTAGCAAGGATTTAGGGTCAGAAAACCCCCCTGATTGGGTTAGGGCTTGTTAATATAAACAAAGGGCTGAAGCCCCACCTTGTGCAAGAGCTGTCTGCAACAAACCCTTGCAAGTCAGACCGAGCAGGATGTCGTTCAGCCAGATGTATGCACAGAAACCTGATCCTGAGCACTACTAGACCCAAGAGTAAAACAGAAAATACAAGCGGTTCTACGGGAGCCTAAACCCTGTAAAAAGGGAATAAGGGCCTACTCTGGGTCCTAGTACCTCTAACCCTAAACCCTAAACCCTGCACCCTAATGCCTAAACCCTAAACTAAGCCCGAGAAAGCCTTACTACCCCTAAACCCTAAACCCGAAACCCTAAACCCTAAACCCCAAACCCTAAACCCTAAACTCAGCCCTACAAAGCCTTCAAACCGTGGGGTGCTTGTGAACAAATCAGACCAAGCAGGAGCTCCGAAGAGCCTCCTTGACATGGGGCTTGAGCCACGCAGCATCTGGTCGATCCATCCTGAGGGACGGAGGCGAAGGTCTCAGGGTTTAGGGTTTAGGGTTTAGGGCTAGGGTTTAGGGTTTAGGGCTAGGGTTTAGGGTTAGGGTTTAGGGTTTAGGGCTAGGGTTTAGGGCTAGGGTTTAGGAGCATGTAGTCCCCACCCGAGTTCTTAGGATTCCCTTGAAACCGAGTGGGTTTTGGAAATGGAGAACTCTTCAGATACGGCTAGGAAATTCAAAGGTTCAGGATCAGGAGAGCGGCCGCCAAGGCTGCCACCAAACAAGCCAAGACTGGAAACCCGGTACAGATCCAAAGATGGGGCCCTAGAAGTATGTAGCAGGGTTTAGGGTTTAGGGTTTAGGGATTAGGGATTAGGGTTTAGGGTTACATGGAAAATCAGGTTGCACGCCGGCCTGTATCCTACCATCTACCTACTTTGATGTTGCTACTTTGATGTTGCGGTTCTCTCGTTGGGGTTTTTTATAGCTCTCTCGCACCCGATGTCCCTACTACGTTTCCTTGGGTTCCCTGTTAAGGGTTTAGGGTTCCCGTGGACATTCCTTTTCAAGTTCTGAAAAGGAGCAGGGTCAGGAGGGTTTAGGGTTAAGGGGTTTAGGTTTAGGGCTGAGAGGGTTTAGGGCTGAGGGTTTAGGGCTTAGGGTGTACAGGGCTTATAGGCAATCGATTCCTATAAGGTCCTGGATGTTTGGGGTGTTCAGATAGGGTCTGCAGGACGTATAGGACTAGTGCAAGCCTCTGAACCTTTTGTAACCCCTGCCTCACGCTAGACCCTACGCCTTACACCTAAAGCCCACACCCTACACCCACCCTGAACCCTAAACCCTAAACCCTAAACCCTAAACCCTAAACCCTAAACCCCAAACCCCAAACCCCAAACCCGAAACCCTAAACCCTAAACCCTAGCTTCCCGGATCAGCATCTGTGAGGCAGCCAGGAGGTGGCTCCAGGTCTCAAAGCGGGCCGCCACCTCCTCCACAGGGGCCTCGCGCCGGAGGTCGTTCCTGAAGCGGTCCGCAGTCTTGGGGGAGGGGAGGGGGTAGGGTTTAGGGTTTGGGGTTTGGGGTTTAGGGTTGAGGGTTTAGGGTTTGGGGTTTAGGGTTGAGGGTTTGGGGTTTGGGGTTTGGGGTTTAGGGTTTAGTTTTGAGGGTTGAGGGTTGAGGGTTTAGGGGTTGAGGTTTAAAGAGCATGAGGCCATCCAAGCTGCCCATCTTCGCGGTTATTTCGCCTGCGCGCTTGGGCCGGGGTTCGGCGAGGGGGGGGGGGGGGGGGGTAACCTAAACCCTAAACCCTAAACCCGAAACCCTAAACACGAAACCCTAAACCCCGGAAAAACGGGGTTGGGGGGGGGGGGGGGGGGGGGGGGGGTGAAGATTTCAGGACCTGCCTGGAGTTTAAGGGTTTGGGCGTTAGGGCTTCAAAGGTTTCTGGGGTTCAGCGAGCCGAAGTTCAGGTCCCGCGCAGGTTTCGGCTTTAGGGTTTAGGGCTTAGGGTTTAGAGTTTAGGGTTTAGGGTGTAGGGTGTAGGGTGTAGGGTGTAGGGTTTAGGGTTTAGGGTTTCGGGACACCCTTACTAAGTCGCCCGATCCTCGTGGAACAAGGGCCAAGGAGATTTGCGGCCTTCGCCTTGAGGGGGTTGTTTCGAAGCCTCGGGTTTAGGCCCTAAACCCAAAACCCAAAACCCAAAACCCAAAACCCAAAACCCAAAACCCATAACCCTTAACCCTAAACCCTACTAAACCCTACTAAACTCTACGAAACCCTACTGAACCCTACTGATTCCTAAACCCTAAACCCTGAATCCTACACCCTAAACCCTAAACACTGAACCCGGAGAGCTGCCTGCAACGTACGTAGTAGCCCGAATACGTCTGCCTGCAACGTATGTAGTAGCCCGACCACGTGGCGCTGAGGGCACCCGTGGCCTGCCTGTGCAGGCGGTCAGGGGTTTAGGGTTTAGGGTTTGGGGTTTAGGGCTTAGGGTTTAGGGCATAGGGTTTATGGTTTAGGGTTATCTTTGGATCCTTTTCTTTGGGGTGGGGAATTTTGGGGTGGGGGATTTTGGGGTTTTGGGGTTTTGCGAGTTAAAAGCGTTTATGGGGGGATTTGGCAAATTTGTTTCAGGGTTTAGGGGGCAGTGCTGCAAGAAGCCCATTCGGGACGGCATGCGGAAGTCCGGAATAGTACTCGAATGGGGCCCTCTAGGGTTTAGGGTTTAGGGTTTAGGGTTTAGGGTTTAGGGTTTAGGGTTTAGGGTTTAGGGTTTAGGGTTTAGCCCGAAACCCTAAACTCTGAGGCCCAATCTGGATTGTTTGTTTGGTGTTAGCAGAACATTGAGGGATTGTCGGGCTTATGGCGATGATGGGTTCAGAGCATTTCTGAGCGTACGGACCTTTTCCAGGGCTTGCAGTCTATAGACCTTATAGAATTTACCTAAACCGAACACCCCTCCCCCTCCTCCCTCCTACACCCTACACCCGAATTACGCATCAAACCTAAAAACCCTTAACCCTTACCCCCCCCCCCCCCCCCCCCCCCCCCCCCAAACACAAAAAAAAAGAAAAACAAGCAGCCTGTCCAGAATGCCCTCCGGCTCCAGCCACAGGCCCAGGACTTTGTCGAACTCGACGGCGCTGTGATGCAGGCGCCTGGGCCAAGGAATGCCCCCGTGGGGACTCCCGGAGCTTGGTTTGGGGCTTATGGGGCTTATAGGGCTTATCTTATAGGGCTTATAGGGCTTATAGGGGTTATAGGGCTTATAGGGCTGATAGGGCTTATAGGGCTTAGCGTTTCGGGCTTAGGGTTTACGCTTCAGGGCTTCGGGGGCCAGATTATCCTTTACGTTAAGGTACAGGAGTCTGGATTCCCCACCACGATTCAGGGGACCAGGGGCTCTCGGTTTCGGGGATATGATCAGAGGTTTGAGGCCAGCCTGAATTCAGAAAATGCGCCGGGGGGGGGGAACTTATAAACTGGAACCGGACGAAGGTTTAGGGCTCATCCAAGGCCCCGTAACCATATCAGAATCAGGGTACCCTTTTTTGGCTTGGCTACTTTACAAGGGAATGTGGGGGGTTTCCGAACTAGCGGCACCTTATTGGGGTGCTTACGAAAAGGGAATCCTGCTATTTGGGGGGTCTATTTTAGGGGTCCCCTATTTTGGCAACCTCCCATGTATAGAATCAAAGAAAAAGAGGGACAAAGGGCAACACTGGGCTACCAAGATATTGTCTAAACTCTAAACCCTAGCCCTAAACCCCAAACCCTAAACTCTAAACCCTAACCCTAAACCCCTGAGTCTTGGGGATATAGGGTTCAATTCAGGCTTCATGCTGGGTAGAAAATGAGCTCAACAAATTTAGGTCCCCTAATCCCCAAACCCCAAACCCTAAACCCTAAACCCTAAACCCTAAACCCTAAACTCTCTTTTTTGTGGACGTGGCACACTCCGTACACGCGGTGTCGCACTGTCTTGCCGCCTGCATCGTGCGTCTCCCAGCGGCTGTAGCCTTGCTGCTGCAACGGCTGCTATCGTTCATCAAGGGGTCAGGTTTAGGGTTTAGGGTTTAGGGTTTAGGGTTATTTCGGGGGTTTAGGGTTTAGGGTTTAGGGTTTAGGGCTTAGGGTTTAGGGATTAGGAACTCAAGGAGGGACCCTTCTAAGGGACCTTAGGGGTGATTTAGGGTTATTTCGGGGGTTTAGGGTTTAGGTTTAGGATTTAGGGTTTAGGGTTTAGGGTTTAGGGCTACTTAGGTAAAAAGGGGCGAAGAAATGTGATTTTTAGGGGTTCTTTAGGGGAGCAAGATTAATGGCCAGGGCGCCTTCTAGGGGCCCCTCCTTACACACCTTAAGTTCACAAGGTTTGCGATCCAGCCCCAAAACCATTAAAACAACAAAAAACAAAACCTAAAAACACCCAAAACCCCACAACCCCAAAACCCAAAAGACCCTAAAACCCTAAAACCCTAAACCCCCGAAACCATAAACCCTAAACCCTAAAAAACCCTAAACCCTAAAACCCTAAAACCCTAAAACCCTAAAACCCTAAAACCCTAAAACCCTAAAACCCTAAAACCCTAAAACCCTAAAACCCTAAAACCCTAAAACCCTAAAACCCTAAAACCATAAAACCCTAAAACCCTAAAACCCTAAAACCCTAAAACCCTAAAACCCTAAAACCCTAAAACCCTAAAACCCTAAAACCCTAAAACCCTAAAACCCTAAAACCCTAAAACCCTAAAACCCAAAAGACCCTAAAACCCTAAAACCCCAAACCCCCGAAACCATAAACCCTAAACCCTAAAAAACCCTAAACCCTAAAACCCTAAAACCCTAAAACCCTAAAACCCTAAACCCCTAAAACCCTAAAACCTTAAAACCCTAAAACCCTAAATAACCCTAAAACCCTAAATAACCCTAAAACCCTAAAACCCTAAAACCCTAAAACCCTAAAACCCTAAAACCCTAAAACCCTAAAACCCTAAAACCCTAAAACCCTAAAACCCTAAAACCCTAAAACCCTAAAACCATTAAAACCCTAAAACCCTAAAACCCTAAAACCCTAAACCCAAAAGACCCTAAAACCCTAAACCCTAAACCCTAAACCCTAAAACCCTAAAACCCTAAAACCCTAAAACCCTAAAACCCTAAAACCCTAAAACCCTAAAACCCTAAAACCCTAAAACCCTAAACCCCCCCCCCCCAAGAACCTCGAAACCCCTCACCCTAAACCCTAAACCCCTAAAACCCTAAAACCCTAAACCCTAAACCCTAAACCCTAAACCCTAAACCCTAAACCCTAAACCCTAAACCCTAAACCCTAAACCCTAACCCCCCAAGAACCTCGAAACCCCTCAGCCTCGGGTGCCTTACAAGGCACCCGAGGCCCCCCAAACACAAAGCGACGCCGAAGCCCCCGCTCCAAGCGGCCCCCGAAAACCCTAGGGTTTAGGGTTTAGGGTTTAGGGTTTAGGGTTTAGGGTTTAGGGTTTAGGGTTTAGGGTTTAGGGTTTAGGGTTTGGGGCTTGGGGTTTGGGATTTAGGGTTTAGGGTTTAGGGTTTAGGGTCCAGCATGTCAAGTCCAAGCATTCGCTAGTCAACCAGCTCGTCCAATGCCGGAAAAATGACCAACATGACAACACACCACCCTAGAAGACTAAGCCCTGGGCCCTGAAGCATGAACCATAAACCCTAGGCCCTACACCTAATCTTTGCCCGAATTGTTCGGAATCGCTTTCGGGTTTGTGCCAGAGGTCCGTTTGTTCGGAATGCAAAAAAGGGTCATGCAACTCCGAACTATCGGGAACCAAAAACTCTAAGCCAAGACCCTAAACAACCCTAAACTCTAAACCCTAAAACCTATCACACTTCCTCAAAGATTCTCAGGCCCGTGAGCCGTTTCGCAGCTGAGACCTCCAAGATTCCCCTCCGAGCCCGAAACCCTCAAAGGGCCCATAATCCCCAACACTCGGGGTTGTAGGCGAAATTATGTGCTAAACCCTCAACCCTAAACCCTAAACCCTAAACCCCAAACTCCCCAACACAAAGGCAAGGCTTAGGCGCAACGAACGGCGTTTCGACGACTGCCGGGGCGGAGGAAGGCATCCAAAGCCACGAAGGCTTTGCTGGCCTCCTTTAGCCTTCGTTGAGTTTGTGGTTTAGGGTCTATAGGGTTTAGGGTCTAGGGTCTAGGGTCTGGGGTTTGGGGTTTGGGGTTTGGGGTTTGGGGTTTTGGGTTTTGGGTTTTGGGTTTTGGGTTTTGGGCGTAGCAAAGCCCTAAGCCCCTAACCCAAAATGCGCTCAACCCAAAAAACGCGAAAGTCCGAAATCCTCACCCTAAGCCCCAAAACCCGGGAGCCCTGAAAAGCCCCATGGCCCGAGCCCTCAGCCCCAAAACAGAGAGACTACAAATTAAAACCCCGAACCCTAAACCCACTAAACCCTGAAGCCTGAACCCGAGTCCACAACCCCCAAATCCCAAAGCCCCAAGCCCCAAAGCCCAAAAACCTAAACACCTCCAAAGCAGCTGGTCTAGTTCCGCTTTGGTCTTCCAGTGGAGTTCCCTCCACTTGGGGAGGTCCTCCGGACGTCAGGGCTGTCATTTTGAGGTTTAGGGCTTCATGGCTTTCGGGTTTTAGGCTTAGGGTTGTAGGGTTTAGGGCTCAGGGTTGTAGGGTTTAGGGCGCAGGGTTCAGGTTTGAAGAGATTTGTTTTTGCTTTGGCCCTGAACAGCCCCGAAAGCTCCCAAACACTAAGCAACCCTGAACCTTATTTATAAACCCGAAACCCTAAACCCTATCTTCGGGGCTGTAGTGAGCGAGCTGACGTCCTTAGTCTCTCAAAGGCTTTCCCTAAACCCTAAACCCCAACCCTGAACCCTAAATGCTGGGCTTTTGGGGTCTTCTGGCGGTTTCAGGGGACTTTGATATGGGGGGGGGGGTGCTTTAGGCTTTGAGGGTCCCTAAGACCAACTCTTTCAAACAGACCCAAAGGATTTTGTTGGGGTTTAGGGTTTAGGGTTTAGGGTTTAGGGTTTAGGGTTTAGGGTTTAGGGTTTAGGGTTTAGGATACACCCTCATCTCCGGGCTTTCTTGGGGCGGTCCTGTTGGTGCGGCAGCTTCATCCCTGCAAAGCCCTCGTAGAAGTCGTCTTCCTTGAACATGCCTGGGCTGGGAGCTCTGCTGCGGGTGTAGGGCTCGTCTTTTAGAGGGCTTAGGATTTAGGGTTTCGGGTTTAGGGCTAGGGTTTAGGGTTTCGGGTAAGGCGAGGGCGTATAAAAGCCGCCAGACACCCATCCTTCCACTCTGTTCGTAGGCGTGGGTCAGGGGGGCAAGCATGGCTCCAGTGGCGGTTCGAGACCCCCCCCCCCCCGCGCCCCCCTAAAACCCGAAACTTGGTTTGGGTTTAGGCGTTTAGGGCTTAGGGTTTGGGGTTTGGGGTTTAGGGTTTAGGGCTTAGAGCTTAGGGCTTCGGGATTGGGGCGAAGGATGGGGTCTCACTTCCGTGTGGGAGCTGTTACTTGGTGGTATTTGGCTCAAGGGTTTGGAGTTTGCTGTGAGGACCCCTTCTCTACTATGTGCTTAAGAACCCCCCCACAAGAAATAACAATAACAATAAAAATAAAAATAACAATAACAATAACAAGAACAATAATAATGATGATAATAATAATAGTAATAAATGTTCCCTGTATTACCCTTATCAGGAAGGTGTGTGTTCTACTTTTGGGGGTTCTTAAGCAATTCGCAGTTCTGCGCTTGCGTGGCCAAGGAACTGAAGAGGAAGCCCCTGATGTCATCAAACACCACGCCAAGTCCTCGAAGGCCTTTGAGATACCTGGAGCTCGGCTCTTTGGGGCCTTCGGGTTTTAGGGTTGTAGGGTTGTAGGGTTGTGGGGTTGTGGGGGGTTGTGGGGTTGTGGGGTTGTGGGGTTGTAGGGTTGTAGGGTTGTAGGGCTGTGGGGTTGTAGGGTTGTGGGGTTGTAGGGCAGGGTTAGGGTTTAGGGTTTCGGGTTTAGGGATTCATAGGAGCGAAGGGGGGCTTAAGGAGCTCTATTCGTGAAATAAGAAGAAGAAATCATGAAAGAATAAAGGGGAAAAATCCAATCCCAAAGCCCTGAACGCAAACCCCCAAACCCTAGCCTCCAAACTCAGAAACACCCTAAACTCAAAGGCTTAACGCTGAACACTGATAAACTCCGAAACACCCATTCAAAAAGCTCGAGCCCTTAAACGCCCGAAGCAACCCTGCAAAAGCATAAGCCTTAAGCCCTAAACCCCTGAGCCCCTAACCCCTAAACCCTAGCCCCAAACCCTAGCCTTAAACCCTAGCCCTAAACACTAAACAACCCTAACAGACCGGGAAGTCCCGGGCACGTGCGCTTTGACCGCTGGTGGAACCTCTTGAGCGCTAGCATCACCACCTTGGCAATCGTCAATTTCGGGCTTTAGGGGGTGTGTTCGGGTTTGGGGTTTTGGGGTTTTGGGGGTTTAGGGCTTTAGGGGGTTTAGGGTTTTAGGGGGTTTAGGGGGTTTAGGGGGTTTATGGGGTTTAGGGGGTTTAGGGTCTGGGGTCTAGGGCTTGCGGGGCTTTACGCGATTGGGTTGGTAGGGTTCAGGCGTTTAGGCGTTATGGGGTTTGGGTTATAAAGGCCGGTGGCCTCTTTATCTGCTACCCTCATACCTTAATGTAGCCCCTAGATACCCTAATAAGAACCCCAATATAGGCCCCTATAAAACAGAAACCCTACTTAAACAGATCACTAACCCATGTAAGGTTTGGGGGTTTAGGGGGCTTAGGGGGCTCTGACCTTCGAAACGACGTCGCTCGTGGAGCCCGTGGCGCCACCGCTCAAAGGCCTCAAAGCACTAGAGGCAAGAACGAAAGCCCGAAAACCACCTCAAAAAGCCCTAAACCCTAAACCCTAAAACCTAAACCTTAAACCTAAACCCTAAACCCTAAACCCTAAACCCTAAACCCTAAACCCTGAACCCTGAACCCTGAACCCGGAACCCTGAACCCTGAACCCTGAACCCTGAACCCCTAAAACCCCTAAGCCCTCTCAAAACGACCCCAAGGCACGCGGTCGAACATCTTACAACCCAAAGGGTTTAGGGTTTAGGGTTTAGGGCTTAGGGTTTAGGGCTTAGGGCTTAGGGTTTGGGGTTTGGGGTTTGGGGTTTAGGGTTTAGGGTTTAGTACTAAACCGTAAACACCCTAAAACCTCTAAACACCTGGCACCCTAAAACCGAAAAAACCTAATAAGCTGAATGGGGGTTCATGAAAATAGGGGACCCTTAATATCGGCAACCAAATAGTGGGATCCCCTTAGAATAAGGACCCCAATAAGGTACCTCTCATATCGTAAACCCCCCAAATCTGTAAGACCCTAAAAACCTAAGACACCTAAATCCGTAAAACCCTCAGATCCTGAACACCTAAATCCTATAACCCCTAAACGCCCTTAAGCAACAAACAAAAAAACATGAAACCCCAACCCCCCCCCCCCCCCCCCCCCCCCTCCCCAAGAAAAAAACATCTAAACAGCTAAATCCTGCAAACCCTAGACCACTAAAAACCCTCAAAAAAGTATCCTAAATACATCCTACACCCTAAACCCTAAGCCCTAAACCCTAAACCCAGAAAAGGCCCGCCAAGGCACGTGGCCGAACATCTTCGCCTCGATCTCTTCCGAGCCCTCGGGTAGCGGGCCGACTCCCGGCACCTGAAGGTTTAGGGTTTAGGGTTTAGGGTTTAGGGTTTAGGGTTTAGGATTTAGGGTTTAGGGTTTAGGGTTTAGGGTTTAGGGTTTAGGGTTTGGGTATCTTGGGACTTCAGGTTTCCAGGGCCTTCGGCGGCTTTGAGGTGTGTTGGGGTGACCGGGTTTAGGGTTTAGGGTTCAGGCTCTGGGTGGTTGCGGCATTAGGGCGTTGAACGTCCATGGGTAGTCCTAAGTAGGGGCATGAGTCAGAAGTGCTCTCATGAAGGTTGCAATAGGGGTTACCTTACTTAGAACCCAACTTATAACTACCCATGAACCTTCAGATTGTAACCCTAAACCCTGCACCCTAAACCCTAAACCCTAAACCCTAAACCCTAAACCCTAAACCCCGGAGCTGAGTGCATGAAGGGCGGGGATGAACTTGAGTTGTAGTAGCGGGTTCGGGTTTAATCAAGGGCTGCGAGACTTGGAGCTTTAGGGTTTAGGGTTTAGGGTTTAGGGTTTAGGGTTTAAGGGCGCATGGCTTTCAGGTTTTTTGGGGGAGTAGGGTTTTAAGCTTGCTAAGGCTTCACCGATTTTGTTTAGAGTTGAAACCCTAAACCCTACACCCTAAACCCTAAACCCTAAACTTGAAAAGTTCAAGGGCTTTTGGGCTTGATTTTGGGGCCTTTGGACTCAAAAGATTCGTGACAGTAATTCGGTGAATGGGGATATAAAGATTCACGAAAATAGGTGGCACCCCCAATATAACCCCCAAATAGTAGGATTCCCTTCTAATAAGGACCCCAAAAAGGTACCCCCTAATATCGTAAACCCTAAACCCTAAACCCTAAACCCTAAACCCTAAACCCTAAACCCTAAACCCTAAACCCCCATGTAAGGATTCTAGGTGTTTGGTGCTTCAGGGTTTTAGGGTTTGGGGCTCCAGGGGTTAGGATGCACGTGTTTGGGCTACTCAAGCACGCCTCAGGACTTAGGGTATCAGGGGCTTATGCTGCACCCTCAACCCTGAACCCTACTCGAGACCCTAAACGAGTTGATTGGTTCGAAGCTGAAAGAGTGTCGGGCGCATTGTGCTGTTTAGTTTTGCTGCTGTTGCTGCTGTTGGCGGGGGGGGGGGAGATCTGAGCTTTTGTTTGCCTCTTTCTTACTCTATAAATCTCAAGGGCCCAAACATCAGAACGCTTTAAGGGAGGTAAGGGACCCTTTCAAGGGACCATGCCGCTGCCCGAAGGGTGCTTACGCCGGGTTTAGGGTTTAGGGTGATCCCAAGGGGGATATAGGCAGGCTTTTCAAAGACATGGAAGCTAGGTCTGCCAGCAACCGAGGAGTGAACGCGTAACTGGATTCCCTAACCGGAGCCCAACAAACCCTGAATCCCAACCCCCCTGAACCCCTAAACCCTAAACACTAAACCCTAAAACCTAAACCCTTAACCTAAACCCTAAACCCTAAACCCTAAACCCTAAACCCTAAACCCTAAACCCTAAACCCTAAACCCTAAACCCTAAACCCCAGCAGGGAAGAAGGCTTACCGCAAGGGTTCTGGACGAAAAGGCTATGAACGCCAGGAGTTCGAGTTCCTGGAGGCCTAAACTACACTAAGATCCCAAACCCTAAACCCTAAAACCGTCAACCTGAAAAACCGGAAGCCCTAAAAACCTAAAACCCTAAAACCTAAAAACCCTAAAACCAAAGACTTAAACCCCGGAAGCCCTCGAACCCTAAACCCGAAAACCCTAAAGACCCTAAAGACCCCAAAGACCCCCAAAGACCCCCAAAGACCCCAAAGACCCCAAAGACCCCAAAGACCCCAAAGACCCTAAAGACCCTAAAGACCCTAAACCCTAAACCCCCAAAGGCCTCGACGAAGGAGTAGATTCCCGGCAGCTTCTCCTGGCACCAATCTGGCAGCTCGAGGCCCTCGCCAACCATGGCTGTGAGTTGGGCCACCTGCAGAAGGCTTGGGGTTTAGGGTTTAGGGTGTAGGGTTTAGGGTTTAGGGTTTAGGGCTTAGGGTTCATCTCCTTGTTTACAGGGAACCGAAGTCGGGGCATTTATGTATAGTGTATGTAACATATACGCAAGGGCTATATAACAAGGGACCCCGATTAGAGTGTAGGGTTCATAGGGTTCCATGGGCTTAGGGCTTAGGGTTTGAGTGAACTATAATGTCAGGAAAGTTCCCTGAGTAAAGGGGAGTCTGGGCTCTCCGGACAACAGCGCTGCGTGTAAGTGCTGAGGCATTTCAATCTCCCTAAACCCTAAACCCTAAACCCTACACCCTAAACCCTAAACCCTACACCCTAAACCCTAAACCCCAAACCCTAAGCCCGGCTGAAGGTTTCGGGCTATGGGGAGCTCCGGGTGTAGGGGTTAAAACCTCACGCCGAAAGCCTGCTTAAAGGTTCATGGGTAGTTGGTTTAGGGTTTAGGGTTTAAGGTTTAGGGTTTAGGGTTTAGGGTTTAGGGTTCAGGGAGTTCCAAGTCGGGGTTTCAGCACCTAGATTAAGGTTCGAATTTAGGTTGCATCTCTTATAAACCTACTGAGATCTACCTAATGAAGCTTCCATGAAAAATAAACTCATAGAGTTTAAGGTTTAGGGTTTATTAGGGTTCAGGGTTTAGGGTTTAGCGTAGTTGTATGGTGCAGGAAGCGCAGACGAAACGACCTCGCTGGTGAGGTTCTCTTCATTCGCGATCTCCTGGCTACCTGCAACGCCCTAAACCCTAAACCCTAAACTCTAAACCCTAAACCCTAAACCCTAAACCCTAAACCCTAAACCCTAAACCCTAAACCCTAAACCCTAAACCCTAAACCCTAAACCCACAGCCCTAAGCCACCAATAACCCCAACATCGCCGTGAAAAGGCTATAAACGAGCCGAACACCCCAAACAGCAGCTGCAAAACCTATAGGTTTAGGGTTCAGGGTTTAGGTCTTAGGGTTTAGGGTTTAGGGCTTAGGGGATAGAACCTAAAGCCCTAAACCTCGAAACCCGCGAATACAAGCAAGTGGGGGGCTTGCACAAGGACAAAGAGACAAGCCACTCCTACTTCTGAGGGCGCGAAAACAAACGCACAAACTCCGCCTAAACCCTAAACCCTAAACCCTAAACCCCAAAACCCCAAAACCCCAAAACCCCAAAACCCCAAAACCCCAAAACCCCAAAACCCCAAACCCCCAAACCCCCAAACCCCAAACTGTAAACCTAAACCCTAAACCCCAAACCCCCCCTAACAAAAGGGAAAAAAAGGGCCTACTCTGGGTCATAGAAGACAAGACCCCTGCCTGCCAAAAGCTTCACCCGAGAGGGCGAGACCCTCAGCTCGTAGGCCACTTTCTCCCGCAACTCCGCACCGTTACCTCAGGTTTTGGGGCTTAGGGTTTAGGAACAGAAGGCGAGCAGACAAGAGTACAGGCCGAGTTTAGGGTTTAGGGTTTAAGGCTTCGGGGTTTAGGGTGCGGAGCTTGGAGTTTAGGGTTTAGGGTTTAGGGTTTAGGGCTTCGGGTTTAGGGTAGAGGCTTGAAAAGGGTTGGTGTTGAAAGGTTGTTGAGGGTGCCGGGTGGTTCAGAGGAGTCTTTAGGGGGATAGGGCTCTTGAGCTTCCAGGCCCTGAAATCCAGTCGAAACGCCCTTCCTCAACAAACAAAATGAAGGAAAAACACCGAACCCCAAAACCCCTGAAATCCGAATCCCCAAACCCAAACTCCGTGCTCTAAACTTTATACCCTATAGAACCTAAGTTACAAGTACCCCCCCCCGGCTGCTAAAACCTAACCCTAAACCCTAAACCCTAAACCCTAAACCCTAAACCCTAAACCCTAAACCCTAAACCCTAAACCCTAAACCCTAAACCCTAAACCCTAAACCCTAAACCCTAAACCCTAAACCAAAAGTACAAACTTGCTCGGCCGGATCGCCTTCGAAGTCTGCGAGCCTGGGATGGTCTTCGGGAAGCATTGTTTAGGGTTTAGGGTTAGGGTTTAGGGTTTAGGGTTTGGGGTTTAGGGTTTAGGGTTAAGGGTTTAGGGTTTAGGGTTTAGGGTTTGGGGCTTAAGGGTTTAAGGGCGTAGGGTTCAAGGGTCTAAGGGTTTTCGGGGTTAAGGGCTTATGAGTTTATAGGGTTTGTCTGGTTTATACAGGCTTGGCTGGGTTTATAAGGTTAAGGGTTTGGTGTTTGAGGGTTTAGGGCTTAAGGGCTTCTAGGGTTTGCAGAGCTTGTATAGTCTTTTGTAGGATTATAAGATTACCGGGTTTAAGCGTTCAAAAGGGTTGAAGGTTCATCTCTCGCTTGATGGGTGTGTCAGTGACGCACTCTCGAATTCTCCGTGCGCGATCAAAGAATGCTGAGGGCCCGGCGAAACCTATCCCCTAAGGGGCGAATTAAGGGTTTGGGGTTTAGCGTTCGTAGGGTTTGGGGTTGAAATGGGGCTTGTTGGTCCGTAGGGGTTACAGGGTTTGTAGGGTTTGTGCGGCTTAGGGTTTACAGGCTTGTAGGGTTTACGGACTTCGCAGCCTTTGTGGTGGTTTGAGGTTAGCGTTTGAAATCGAAGGCTTGAGGTTCTAGGGCTTGGTGTTTGGGTTGACCCTAAACCCTAAGCCCTAAAACCCTGAAACCCTAAACCCCTAAACCCTAAACCCTAAACCCTAAACTCTAAACCCCATGCCGCAAAGGGGCTCCAGCACAGACTTGCCACTGATCAGCGTCACGCAGAGCCCCGGCATGGCTGTGGTTGAGGGTTGAGGGTTGAGGGTTGAGGGTTGAGGGTTGAGGGTTGAGGGTTGAGGGTTGAGGGTTGAGGGTTGAGGGTTGAGGGTTGAGGGTGGAGGGTTGAGGGTTGAGGGTTGAGGGTTTAGGCTTAGGTTTAGGGTTTAGGGCTTCGGGTTGAGGTTTTTCTCTACTCGCTGCTCTTTGATTCAGCCCGCCACACCCCGGACGTTCAGGGAGTTTAGGGTTCAGGGCTGAGGTTTTAGGGTTTAGGTTTTAGGGTGTTTTGGGAGTATCAATTTTGGGCGTGTAAAGCCAATCCTTGCCACAAGCTGGCGAGCCGCTGTCCTTGCTTCAGTGGGAGGGTTTCAGGTTTAGGGGTTGCTCTTTCGTTTTCGTGAACCCACAACCCGAAACCTTGAACCCTAAACCCTACTCCCCAAGGCCCCCTGAACCCTCCTGTTTTCAGGGTAGAGCTTCCGAACCGTCAGCCGTCAAACACTGTTGCGTGCCACCATCATCCTGAAGCCCGAAACCCTGAACCCCTAAACGCCTGTCACAACCGAACCCTATAACCCTAAACCACCTGAGTCCTCAGTCCTCACTACTACTTGCAACCTAAACCCTAAACCTGCAAAATACCAGGCTTAAGGTGTTTAGGGTTTAGGGTTTCAACCCCCCCCCCCTGTTTTACAGTTGCCATCTCATTTCTTCTATGGAATGGGCAACAGCTGCCAGTGCCAGGCCTTCTTTCCGCCCGCCTTGATGTCCTCGATGGCTAAGAGGGTTGCGGGTTTAGGGCTTGAAGGTCCATACCCTAAACCCGAAACCCTAAGTCAGGTACAACGGTATAGAAAACTACGAGAAGTTGTCGGCCTAAAGGAGTCCCACTCCGAGATACACAGGGCTTAGGGAACTTTAGGGTTTAGGCAGCTATGAACTTCAAACTCTTGAGGCCGAACGCCCAAACCTTGCGGGGTTTGGGTTTTTGGATTTGGGGGCTCCCCTAGCCTCACATCCACCCCGCGGCTTTACCACACACAAGGGGAGGAGGGGGGAGGGGGGACGGGGGGGGGGGGAAAGGGGGGGGGGGGGGGGGGGGAGGGGGGGGGGGGGGGGGGGGAGGGGGGGGGGAGGGGGGGGGAGGGGGGGGGGGAGGGGGGGTGCTCCGAGCACCCCCGCCCCCTTCTTCCTGCCCAAGATGTGGCTCTGGATCCCCATATGCTTCGCACAGCTACCCCCCCTACAACTCGAAGTCCCAAGCATTCAGCCCTATGAGGAAAGTTGCAGCTGGGTAGCTACTGTTGACTTAGCAGGCCAGTCACCGGAGTAGAATAAGGGTACCCTTGTTTTGGTTGGTTACTGTACAAGGGAACCCAGAACCAAAAAAGGGTAAAGGGTACCATTGGTCTATCAAGTTTGTGTAGGCCTCATATCAAAAATGCAGGTCTGATATAAGCTTTCTATATGACTCTTCTAAGGGAGACAACCCACCTGAAACTGTCCCAGAATGAGCCCCCCAAAACCCTAACTGCCCCAACCAAACCACAAACAAGCCCTTTTGGTGTTGAGGATTTGGGGTTTTGGGTTTACCCTAAACCCTAAACCCTGCACCCTAAACCCTAAACCCTAGACCCTAAACCCTAAACCCAGTATACCCCTGTTTAGGGTTTAGGATTTAGGGTTCATAAGCCCTCGGAACATTCAGGGCTCGACCCTGGAGGGCTAAGCCCCAAAATCTGAGCCTCATTCCGCCCCGTAGCAACTCATTCAAAAAACGCCCTAAACCCTAAACCCTAAACCCTGAACCCTAAAACCCTAAAACCCTAAAACCCTAAACCCTAAACCCTAAACCCCGCCAACCGTACCCCAAGCCAGCCGGTCCTCCACCTTCTCTTTCAGCTGGTGCTGGCGATCCGGGGCCTCCTCCTGAGAAATTCGGATGTTGGGGTTTTTTAAGGCAGAGGCCTTAGGGTTTAGGGTTTTTAGGGTTTAGGGTTTAGGGTTTAGGGTTTAGGGTTTAGGGTTTAGGGTTTAGGGTTTAGGGTTTAGGGTTTAGGGTTTAGGGTTTAGGGTTTAGGGTTTAGGGTTTAGGGTTTAGGGTTTAGGGTTTAGGGTTTAGGGTTTAGGGTTTAGGGTTTAGGGTTTAGGGTTTAGGGTTTAGGGTTTAGGGTTCATGGACTGTCGGGTTTCGGGTTAGCCTGGAATACCCTCAAAAGCAGGAAGTATACCCCCCTCCCCCGCTTTCTGTGGAGGCAAGACTTCAAACCATGATAGAGGCTGAACCCTAAACAACAAGAGGTAAAAATGCCGAACAGTTCAGCTACATCGGGGTGCTCTGCGTAAGGGTCTTCGTTTCAGGAGCTGAAGTTTACCAAACCCGAAACCCTAAACCCTAAAACCCTAAACCCTAAAACCCTAAACCCTAAAACCCTAAAACATAAAACCCTAAAACCCTAAAACCCAAAAACCCTAAAACCCCTAAAACCCTGAACCCTAAACCCTAAACCCTAAACCGCAGCACTTAGGCACCTAAGCACTTGGGCCTTTAGGGCTCCTCAGCCCGAACTCATCTTTCCTCGCTATGTCTTTTGCTCAGGGCAGTTACATGGTCCCTCAATATGGGTTTATGTCGGGTTTAGGGTTTAGGGCTAGGGTTTAGGGTTTAGGGTTTAGGGTTTAGGGTTTAGGGTTTAGGGTTTAGGGTTTAGGGTTTAGGGTTTAGGGTTTAGGGCTTAGGGTTTAGGGTTTAGGGTTTAGGGTTTAGGGTTTAGGGTTTAGGGTTTAGGGTTTAGGGTTTTAGGGTTCCATGCGCAGAAGCCTGCACAAAGAAAGAATCCTAAACCCTACACCCTACACCCTACACCCTAAACCCTAAACCCTGAAACGCTGAACTCCGAATGCTCTGCCGCCGTGGGTCGGGCCGATGGAAGAAACCACCCACTTTGCCTCTGCTTCTTCTGCTTCGTGCTTTATTTCTTTATTTCTTTATTTCTTTATTTCTTTATTTCTTTATTTCTTTATTTCTTTATTTCTTTATTTCTTTATTTCTTTATTTTTTATTTCTTTATTTTTTATTTCTTTATTTCTTTATTTCTTTATTTCTTTATTTATTGATTTAGGGTTTAGGGTTAGGGTTTAAGGTTTAGGGTTTTAGGGTTTAGGGTTTAGGGTTTAGGGTTTAGGGTTTAGGGGGTTCAGGGTTCAGGGTTTAGGGTTTCGGGTTTAGGGTTTAGGGTTTAGGGTTTAGGTTAGGGTTTTAGGGTTTAGGGTTTAGGGTTACTTTTAAGATGTTTTGGAGGGGGGGGGGGGGCGCGTCAGGGTTGTTATAAGAAAAGTAAGCTGTATTTGAACCTTGATACTGGGGGGGGGGGGGTTGTCTACAGGAGCATATGGAGCAGACAGGATTCATTGGGTCTTTCGCATGTTGCTTTCTAGAGCACCGCCGCGGACTATCCCAATGACCCCTGGGATTTAGGGTGTATAAACCCTAAACCCTAAACCCTAAAACCTAAACCCTGAACCCTGTCTATAGGGTTTAGAGTCTAGGGTTTAGGGCCTTATAAAAGCAGTCAGAGCTCCCGGGGGTTTAGGGTTCAGGGTTTTCGGGGCCTGCTTGGAGGTTCATGGGTACTTATAGCCCGAAATACAAGCGCCTACTTAGAGGACTTAGGGGGTTAGAAGTACAGTGTTCATTGTGGTTCTAAGTACCCTGAACCTCCAAGTGAGACCTCAAGGCTTTTAGGGTTTTGAATTCAGGGCTCATTGTTGTATGTACAACATGTTTGAGGCGCTGCGGTGTTGTCCCTGCCACTCCCCCAGCAGAAACGCAGGAGCTCCATCAACAACAAAACAGTTGAGGGCTTAGGGTTATACTTGAGGGTTCGTGGGTAATTATAAGTCGGGTTAGAAGTAAGGTAACCTCTATTCCAACCGTAGCTAAGGTACTCTATGACCCTACTTAGAACGACCAGACCCTTGGGGCTGTTTGGCAATCCCAAACCTGACTGCAAAGAGGGGTTTAGGGTTTAGGGTTTAGGATTTAGAGTTTAAGGGGGCCCTGCAAGCATCCGTTGAAAGGACAAGTTGCCGAGAAGCTCCCGAGTGGTGTCAGTGAGGTTCTTCTTGTCCTCGTGCCCTGAATGAAAGGGTTTCGGGATTAGGGTTTAGGGTTTAGGGACCCTAAACCTTAAACCCTGTACCCACCATACACCCAGAATGTTGTTAATTAGTTGTGAGTCCCTCATAACTTATTGGGGTTATCCCCCTTCCAAACCTAATAACCCCTAAGCCCTACTCCCCCTAAGGGGAGGCAGCGGGGCCATTTCTGTGCCTGTCGCAGAGTCAGAATAGCTTCCCGCGCCAGCCAACTTCAAGAGAATAGTTAGTTCGACTGGCTCCCACCTTGGTTACCTCCAATTCCTTTTTGAGGTTAGTGATCTCAACGGCCCTGTCGCTCCTGGTCATCATCATGAGCTTCTACAAGAACCTACTTGTCCAGTAACCTGGAGGAATCAAAGGTTATCCTTTGGGATGATCTGGGGATTATACTACCCCGGAAAGGGTAAAGGTTACCTACTCTACTACTAGGAGAACAACTACAATAGTCGCCCAAAGACAGGGGCGCAGTCCACAGCATGAGGCCTTGAGCATCGGCAGCGCCGTGACATTCTCCCGTGTTCTCGATTTTAGGGGTTTAAGGGTCAAGGATTCAGGGGTTGCAGGGGTTTCAGGTGCAGGGTGTAGGATTCAGGGAAAGGAATGGAGGCCTGTAATGTTGTATTTTGACTTGTGCGATTTTCTGGTCGCAATCATTTTCCTCAACCCTAAACCCTAAACCCTAAAATCCTAACTAAACAAATTCGGGCGATGCGAAGTTCCGGCGAGGAAGCCTTTGGGTTAAGGGCGAGGAGGGCACGGTTTGCGCCCGGGTGGGCCTGTGTTGCGCAGCGCACAACCATATACTGAATACATATACATGTGCCTCTAAGGTAGCGCATTATTTCCGTCCACGACTGCAAGCAAGCTCCCTAAACCCTAAACCTGAAACCGTAAAACCCTGAACTCTAAAACCGTAAAACCCTAAACCCTAGAAACGCAAAGCCCCGAAACCATGGCCTGAAAACCCTAAAGCCCAAAAGACCAAAACCTTGAAACCCTAACCCTAAGACCGAAAAGCCTAGAACGAACCCTAGACCTTTAAACCTCGAAATCCGAAACCACGAAACCCTAAACCCCCACCCGAAACCCTAAACCCGAAACCCCACACCCTATAAACGCTAAATGTAAGCTCTTGTCCCAGGTTTTTGGCGGGGGCGGGGGGGGGGGGTGCGGGTGGGGTGGGTGGGGGTGATGAGTGGGGGGGGGTGACCTTGGTGGGGGTGGGGGTGCGGGGGAGGTGGGGGGGGGGTGCGGGGGGAATGGGGGTGGGGGGAGGGGGGGGGGGGTGGGGGTACTATAATCCCGACTAAGGATTGTTAGTATAAGGGGGAACATTCCAAGTAAGTTAAGCCTTAAAAACATCCCAAGTACCATGGGGACCGGAATAACTACTAATAGTATTCTCCTATGGTCCCTTTGTAAATATACCATGATAACCCCCAAAACCCTGTTCTAATTATTAAGGTCCTTATATTCGGTCCTAAACCCTAAACCCTATAAGAACCATTAGAATAAAACCCTAAACCCTAAACCCTAGACCCCCTACATTAAGCTCAGCTCTGGCGCCGGGGCCTGCGGACGCCGCCGGGCCCTCGCTGGAGCTCGCGGCTTCGGGCCTCACTCTTCAGTGCGTGGATGAGGGGCTCAGCTTATAGGGAGACTAGGGTTTAGGGTTTAGGGCTAGGGTTTAGGGTTTAGGGTTTAGGGGTTCAGGGGTTCAGTTTAGGGTTTAGGGGTTCAGGGTTTTAGTGGTTCAGGGCTTGGCCTTGCGAATCTTGAGCCCTAAGCCCTCCAAACCCCTCCGACCCCAAAATTCCCCAAGCCTTCATTCAACCCTAATCGCTAAATTTTATCAACTTTCAACCGGAATCACCAAGTCCTAAACCCTAAGCCCTAACCCCTAAACCCAAATCACCAAACCCTAAATCCTAATCCCCAAACCCTAAACCCTAATCCCTGTACACCCCAAACCCTGCACCCTAACGTCCAAGAAACTAGAAGTGCTGACTTGCGGTTTAGGGTTTAGGGGTTTCGGGGTTTAGAATTTAGGGTCTAGGGCTTCTTGTTGTGGCCGGTGCTGTTGCCGTTGCCATGGCCATTGCTGCAAGTGTGCGTGCGATTACGATTGCGATTGCGATTGCTAGAGGCGGTGCGATAGTAATCGTCATTGCTCTCGTTGCTGTAAACCCAAAACCCCAAAACCCTAAACCCTAAACCCTAAACCCTAAGCCCTAAACCCCTAAACCAAGCCCCTAAACCCGTTGCACACGTTTCAAGACCATCTAGGATGGCCCTTGAAACTTTCTGAAACATGTTCCTGAATATCATCCTCTGAAACCCAATGGGGGGAAATAGAAGATGTCCCAAGGGCCCTAAACCCTAAACCCTAAACCCCGAACCCCGAACCCTAAACACTAAACACTAAACCCTAAACCCTCAACCCTAAACCCTGAACCCTCAACCCTAAACCCAAACCCCAAACCCCAAACCCCAAACCCTAAACCCTAAACCCTAAACCCTAAACCCTAAACCCAAACCCTAAACCCAAACCCTAAACCCTAAACCCTAAACCCTGAAGAGCCATTGAATGGGGCAACCGGGCACTGGCCGGGTCCCCGAGCCCCTCTCCAGACTGATCTCCACTCGCGTCCTGTCCATGTTTTAGGGTTTAGGGTTTAGGGTTTAGGGTTTAGGGTTTGGGGTTTGGGGTTTGGGGTTTGGGGTTTGGGGTTTGGGGTTTGGGGTTTGGGGTTTGGGGTTTGGGGTGTGGGGTTTAGGGTTTAGAAAGTGAGGGACTCTAGGGTTTAGGGACTTTATTGTTTAGGGACTCTAGGGTGTAGGGTTTCGGGTTTCAGCAGGGCTGATGTGAAACGAAGCTCCACCAACGAAGCTCATCTTGGGCTCTTGGGCTCAGGAGCCTCTCTTGGTTGGGACCCTGATACTGACAGCCCTTAATAGGGAGTCTACTAGGGGGTACTGTATATCGCTATTAAGGACTCTTAGTATAAGGCTATCAGCCCTTAATAGGGAGTCTACTAGGGGCCCAGGCGCTCATCCAATGAATGGCACCCACTCAGCACGACATTTTCGCGGCTTAGGGTTTAGGGTTTAGGGTTTAGGGTTGAGGGTTTAGGGTTTTAGGGTTTTAGGGTTCAGGGTTTAGGGTTTAGGGTTTAGGGTTTAGGGTTTAGGGTTCAGGGTTCAGGGTTTAGGGTTTTAGGGTTTTAGGGTTTAGGGTTCAGGGCGTGGTTGGTCTAGCGTGTGCATCTTGGGGTAACTCATGTCAGCAGCATATGTGGAACAATCTTAACTCCAAAGCCCTGAGCCTGATATCCACCAAGTTACCCTTCAAGGGATGGAACAGGCACCCCAACTCTCCAAACCCTGAACCCTAATCCCTAAACCCTGAACATCCCTCAACCCTAAACCCAGACTTTGGGGGCTATATTTAGAGGAAACGCACCAAAAACAAGTCTCCTAAGCCCCCAAAACCCCCTGAACCCTACACAACCACCGGCCAAGGGCTGCGAGCCCTAAACCCTGAAACCCTGACACCCCCTAAAGCCCTCAAACCCAGGAGTTATATAGGGTCTAGGGTTTAGGGTTTATGGGTTTGCGGCTTGGGGTTTGGGGTTTGCGGCTTTGGGTTTGGGGTTTTAGGTTTGGGGCTTAGGGCGTTACTGGCCATTCGACTAAGCCCTAAACGCCTAAACCCATGAAGAGTATGGGGCACTTCACAAGGGTTTAGAGTGAAGGGTTTACGGTTTAGGGTGCGAGGTTTAAGCACAGAGAACTGTGCGACTGCTTCCCACGTCCAAACTGTGACGGCATGGCATACTGCTCAGGGCCCGAATCGAAACCTGCCCTGAGCCCTGAACCCTAAATTGAACCCTAAACTCTGGGTTCTGGGTCTGGGAATTAGGTTTCTGGGCTCAGCAGACTCTGTGAAATGAGCTTGGGAGGAATCGCAGCTCTTATCGTGTCCTGTGCTGTCGCCTCCCGTTTCGGAGGCGCAAATGCCTGGCAGGGGGCCCTAAAACCCTAAATCCTAAACCCTACACCCTAAACCCTAAGCCCGAACCCCTAAGCCCTAACCCCTAGACCCTAAACCCTAAACCGTAACCCTAGACCCTAGACCCTAGGCCCTGAACTCTAAATCAGGGGATAAAGGCCCTGCTAGGTGAAAGAACTTTGTGTCTTCTTAGCGAAGAAGATTTCCGGGCAGCGCCCTTGAAAAGCCGTGCAACACGAGAGTGTTTAGGGGCTTAGGGGGTTCAGGGTTTAGGGGTTGTAGGTATTTAGGGTTCAGGGTTTAGGGGGTTTAGGGTTTAGGGTTTGGGGTTTAGGGTTTGGGGACTAGGCGGTTTGGGGACTAGGCGGTTTGGGGTTTCGGGATTAGATGACTATGGCAGGCTCCTCGCTTGGCCTACCCAGATCTCGAGCACCTTCCGCATGGCACATTCCCTGCTCTGAATTCTACTGATTGCTTAAGAACCCCCCCAAAAAATCTTCCTTATAAGGACAACATAGGGATTATTCTCTTGTATCTATAATTTCCAAGGGGAGACAGGTTAAGACTTTTTTATTCCCCTTTTGGAAACCCAAAAAAAACTAAAGTTCGAGTATTGGCTAAGTAAGTTGGGGGCGGGGGGTGCTTAAGCAAATAGTAGTATTCCAGCTGTGCTGGCCATCTCGTCTTCCTCTCTTCTCACGGCAACCAGCTCTTAAAGCCGTGCTACCCTGCAACCCTGATCCCTCTGCCTATATCCTCATACCGCCCGTTTTGGGGTTTAGGGTTTAGGGTTTAGGGTTTAGGGTTTAGGGCTCCACTCACCTGAAGAGGGACTGTAGTGCAAGTCGCGGGGCCATACAGCGAAGGCCTGGATGGGCATCCTGCGCCTTGAACCCTAACCCGAACCCTGAATCCAGAACCCTTTTGAACCCCTAAACCCTTAACCCTAAACCCTAAACCCTAAACCCTGACCCCTAAACCCTAAACACTGAAATCTCAACCATGAACCCTCATGAACCCTGAACCCTGAAGCCCCAGAACCCGGAGCCTGGAACCCTGAACCCCTAACCCTGAAGCCTGAAATAAACCCTAAACCCTCAACCATGAACCCTGAACCCTAAACCCTCAAACCCCAAAGCGCCTGAAGGCCTAAAACCCCCTGAAGGCCTAAAACCTGAACCCCGAACCCCAAATACTCGGACTGACAGGCAAAGCTTGTCAAAGCTGATGTCGGGCTTTTGGGGGCACATTTCGGCTCTTGTATTCAGAGTTCGTAGGGCCTTCTTTTTCCGATGCTGGCAGCAGAATTGGTGAGGTGCAGTGGCGCAAGAGGCCCGAGGTGCCGCGAATCGCGACCTGCTCGTCGTCCCAAATCGCGCGCGGATGGCGCGGCTGGTGCCTCCGAAAAGCGGATGTCAGCCTCCCGGCGCCGCCGCTGCTGGGCCCGGTGGGCCTTTTTGCCTTTCGCTTTGCCGGTTTGCATGGCTTGTGGGGCTTATGTTCACGGCTTTTGGGGCAGACGCACTTGTAGGGCTGATAGGGTTACACCCCAAAACCCTGCTGTTTAGGCTTGAGGGTTCAGGGTGAAACCCTAAATCCTAAGCCCTAAGCCCTAAACCCTAAACCCGCTGAGTGGGTAGTCTGCCTTGCGCAAGGCGTCCGTGTCGCGCCCGAGCCTTGGGTCAGGAAGCGGGCTTGGGCTTTGGATATTTCAAGGTTCAGGGTTCAGGGTTCAGGGTTCAGGGTTCAGGGTTTAGGGTTTAGGGTTTAGGGTTTAGGGTTTAGGGTTTAGGGTTTAGGGTTTAGGGTTTAGGGTTTGCGGCTCAGGTTCTGAGGATTTGTTCCGCTTCACATGGTGGATTTACACGCAGCTGCCTTAGCCATCCTCCCCCCGCCCCCCCACTCCCCCCCAGCCCCGAATTCCCCAAAACCTCCGCCCCATGAAACCTAGAACCCTTAACCCTAAAGCCTTAACCGTACCCTCAAGCCCAGCATACCACGAGCTCCGACACCTCCAAGAATTTTACCTCCGAAGAGGGTTCAGGGTGCCGGGTTAAGGGTTTGGGGGTCTCTGTATCGACGCCACCTACACAAAATGAAGGCCTAAAGAACCCGAGATTGTAGATCGGCATCATGGGCCGCATGTATATGCCCTAAACACAACGCTAAACACTAAAACCCTAGACCCTAAACTTTAAGCCGCCGCCCCCCCCCCCCCCCCCCCAAAAAAAAAAAAAAAAAAAAAAAAAGAGAGGCAGGCCTCTCCCGGAGCGAGGACGTGTCCTGGCTTCGGAGGTTTTTGGGGCGCCGAAGTCGCGAATGTAAAACAAAAAACGGAGGCCTGGTTAAAACATGATGAGAAAATTGAGGTTTAGGGTTACAAGGAAAAAAGGATAACACCCTGAGCCCTGAGGCCCGAAGCCCTGTAAATCAACAACGGGAGCAAAGGACGCCACAAAAAAACGGGTTGGGGGGTCAGGGTTTAGGGTTTAGGGTCTAGGGGTCCCTTTTTTCGTAAACTCCCAGATGCAAAAGCAGATGAGGTTGCAATCCATTCGCATGTGTATGTTTTAAAGTGTGGGCATTGCAAAAACTGTGTCACAAGGTTTACCGGGCCTCCTCTCGGAAGGGGGATACCCCAAGAACTGAAGTAAGGCACCCTATGCTACTATTTGCTTAAGAACCCCCCCCCCCGGCAAAAAAAAAAAATCCTGATAAGGGTAATGCAGGGACTATTATGCTTTACTGTTGGGGGGAGGGGGGGGGGGGTTCTTGAACAAATAGTAGACTAGAAGGAGTACGCTGCAACGAAGACACAGCAGAAGGGTTTGCAGTTTAGATCAATCCACAGATCGTAAGGCCAAAAGATAGCCAAGAGCTCGGGTCTGGGGTGCGGAATGTACCCAAACCCTGCAACCCCATAAACCCTAAACCTTTTAGGGTCATGGTTTATCGTGGATCTAGGGCAAAGCAGGGCATAGCAAAGTCATAGCGATTTTATCTAACTTAGAACCAATGTAAATTATACGCCCTTATAAGCCCTAAACCCTGAACCCTGCCAACCTTAAAACTTGGGATCCTTTTCCTTTTGGGGATTGCTAAGCGGGTTTCGGCTTGAACAGTTCGAGGGCTTCAAGGGTATTCAGGGCCTTTATCTATACTCCCCTTAGAACCTTAGAAATTGTTAATATCCTCTTGGATTTTATATCCCTAAACCCTAAACCCTAAACCCTAAACCCTAAACCCTAAACCCTAAACCCCCAAGAGGGACATAGTTATACGGCTCTGAGCTGTCCTGCACAGTGAGGCGGACGCCTTCGCGGACGCCGTCCTGCACGCGAGGGCTGGCTTGATCAAGGGGGGTTTAGGGTTTAGGGTTTAGGGTTTAGGGTTTAGGGTTTAGGGTTTAGGGTTTAGGAAAGGACTACTGAGGGTTCATGGGCGACTATATGTAGGGCCATAGGTACTTTAATTGGGAAAAGCTATCATGTAGGTTGCCTTACCTATACCCTACATACAAATACCCGGCAACCTTCAAGCAGAGGCTAAGGGGAGCCCGCGGAAAGTTGATCAAGGCTTATTCCTTGGCTGCACTCAGAAGGGTAGCTGAAAAACTAAACTTTTAGCTGCCTTAATTAGAAACCCAGCAAACCCAAACAAAGGTAAGGATCTAAAGCTACAGTAAAGTACCACAAAGACTCATGGCTTAAAAAGGGTGCCCTTTTTTGCTTAAAGGGGTTTATAAGGGAACCTAAACCCCCCAAAAAGGGAATAAGGGGTACTACTGGGCATCCTAGCTTCATGACCTGTGGAAGGGCACAGCTGATGTTTGCTGCGCGAGGATTTCCGCTTTTTCTGCTATAGAGAGCAAAGCAACCCAGGAATATTTAGGGTTTAGGGTTTAGGGTTTTGGGTTTAGGGTTTAGGGTTTAGGGTTTAGGGTTTAGCCTTTCCTGGCTGGCTCTGAGTAGGGAATGAGGGAATGAGGCAAGCAACAGGGCCAACTCTTGGGCCTGTAGCTTCTTGACGCCCGATATTTTACCTTACACCCTCCCGCGCAAGTCTTCGACAACGCGCCTCTCTACCACTTTGCTTGTCTTCAAGGCATAACATGTCTGCATCCTGTCGACACATTGCTTGTGACTCTGGCGCATGTCCGCTTCTTGCTGAAAAATGATGTGCGACTGCTTCAACCCTAAACCACAAACCCTGCACCTGAGCATTCTTCAACCCCTGCACCCGCCCCAGTTGAACACAAGCAAGACGAACTTTGAAGACTCGGCTTTAGAGGCTGGACTCCATGGTGATGTGCAGTGGATTTGTGGTTTGGTTTTGGGTTTAGGGTAGTTGAAAGGATCGTGCTCTGGAAGGGCCAAGTCGATTGCTGGGGGTATCTGTTTTGCTCTCGCAGTAGTTCCGTACAATACAAGAGTAGCACGTGTGCTTGATGGAGGCAAGAAATTCGTGGCAAGCCCAGTCTAACACTGCGGATGGAGCAAGAGACTCACGGACGCCGTAAGAGGAGGCAGAAGCCTTGAAATGTCTTGCCGGCTCGGCTGCTTGAGAGGGCTAAAATCTGCAGTCGAGGATGAGAGAGGAGTTCCGCAGCCGATATGCAGCTTAAGCCCAGCAAAGGCGCCAGGAATGTGCGTCCACTGGCATGGCGGTGGGGGAGAGGCTCAGGACGTGCTAGAGCCAGCAAATACTCGCGCCCCTCATCCACCGCAAAATGTTTCAAGCCTTGAGGCCTAGGTTCGAACGTGCTGGTCAAAACCCACCCACCAGCCCCTCCAACTCCTAAACCCTAACCCCTAAAACCCAAACCCTCAACCCCTAACCCTAAACCCTATAAATCCTAAACCCTAAACCCTAAACCCTAAACCCCCAGTGGTCCTTCAAGTCGGCCATGTCCCGTGCCACCAGCTTGGCCTCGGCCACAAAGAAGCCCAAGCGGGGTCTGGGTTGAGGGTTTAGGGTACAGGGACGGTTTAGGGTTTAGGGTTTAGGGTTTAGGGTTGAGGGTTGAGGGTTTAGGGTACAGGGTTTCGGGCTTCGTAGGGACATCGACCATTATAGGTACGCCCCCTACACAACCCTTCAAAGGATGATAGAACTATGTAAGACCAAGGGAGTACCTAGGGTGCCGAGTGCCTACATGTACGTTTCTAATTCCTTACGAAGACGTATTGAGAGAACCGAGGAAGCCAATGGCGGGCCACCTGTTGAGGATTTGTGGTTAGGGTTTAGGGCCCCAAACCCCAAAAGGTGAATCCTAAACGCGAACCCCAAAAACCAAAAAAGAAACCTTGCAAATCCTCGTCGCCTTGTAACCAACCCTACACCCTAAACCAAAATCCCCAAACCCTATCACCCAAAAACCCTAAACCCTAAGCCTAGAACCCACACCCTACACCCTAAACCAAAACCCCCAAACCCTATCAACCCAAAAACCCTAAACCCTAAGCCCAGAACCCACACCCGAACCCGGAGCACCTCATTGGCGATGGCCTCCCGGGTCGTTTGCACGGCCTCCTGCCAGCATGGAGGAAGTACAGTTTAGGGATTCGGGCTTAGGGGTTTGGGGTTTAGGGTTTTGGGGTTTAGGGTTTAGGGTTTCGGGTTTAGGGCTACCCTTGAAGCCTTGAAACCCCGGACAGGGCCTTCGTCACGGACTTCAGCTGCGAAGCCTGGCGCCCAACAGGCTCTTAAGGTAGTGCACGAAGTTGGCGCGTTTTGACCCGTCTGACCCGTTTGGCCCCCCATTGTTCAGCACGAATTTGGCATTTTGACCCGTCTGACCTGTGTGATTGTTTGGAATCTTGGTGCGTCTGAACAGAAATTGAGAAAAACTTTGTATTTTCTTAATGTTATGGGATTCTTTGGGCGGGTGGGTTTTTTTCGTTGCCTACACACACTGCTGGCCTAGTAAATGCTCGAACTTGAGATGCTGAACCCTAAACCCTAAACCCTAAACCCTAAACCCAAAAACCCAAAAACCCAAAACCCTAAACCCTAAACCCTAAACCCTAAACCCGAACCTGCTGCCTTCTGACCCAGCTTCGAGGCCCAGGAAGCGACGGATCGGCGTGCTCCGCCTTCCGCAGGCATTAGGGTTCGGGTTTAGGGTTTAGGGTTTAGGATTTAGGGTTTAGGGTTTAGGGATTAGGGTTTAGGGTTTAGGGTTCAAGGTTTAGGGTTTGGGGTTTGGGGTTTAGGATTTTTGGTTTGGGGTTTGGGGTTTTGGAGTTTGGGGTGGTTTAGGGTGGTTTACGGTTCAGGATCCAGAATTAGGTCTTGGTTTTGGGGGTTAAGGTTTGGGGTGTGGGGGTTTTGGGTTTAGTGTTTAAGGTTTAGGACAGGGGTGTATCGGCATTTTTTGTTTTTTGGGTGATTCAGGCGGCTTGTGCTGTAGCTTAGGGCTGTTTGGTGTTCGGGGGCAGTTGCTTCCGACCTAGATTGGGAGACCTTCGGGGTTTAGGTCTTATAGGGTTTTACGGTTTAGGGTTTGGGTAACCCTAAACCCTGAACACTGAACTTCACTAAACCCTGCTTAAGGGCAGAGGGGAGGGGGGTGTGGGAGGGGGGAGGGCGTTTGCAAACCGTCTGCCCAACAGCTGGGACTAAAGGTGGAGCATGCTGCTAACAACCTCAAATCCGCCGAGGCCTCGGGCCGTAGGTGTCTGGGTAGCACCCTTCATCCCCTCCCAAACCACCCGTCTTTCGCCACTTTTTTGCCTAAAATCCCAGAACGAACGGTACATCAGGACCCGGGGGCATTTCAGCCACACCATAGGCGGCCGGAACACCAATCCCCCCACCTCCCTTTTCTCCACCTCCCCCCCCACCCTACCCCCACCCTACCCACCCACCCCCCCCCCCCCCAACCTACCCCCATACCCCCACCCTACCCCCACCCTACCCACCCTACCCACCCCCCCCCCCTCCGCCCCCATCCCCCAACCCCCCACAACCGACGTTTCAGGCGCCTAGAACAGCATAATCCTGAAATGCACAAAGCCTCTCAAAAACCGGAGGCCGAACAGCACCTGCGCACACATCGATCAAATTTTCTGCCCAAACCCAACCCTCTCCCAAACCCAGAACCCTAAACTTTGAAACCTAAACCCTAACCCCTAAACCCTAAACACTAAACCCTAAACCCTAAACCCTACTCAACCCTCAACCCTCAACCCTCAACCCTCAACCCTCAACCCTCAACCCTCAACCCTCAACCCTCAACCCTCAACCCTCAACCCTCAACCCTAAACCCTAAACCCTAACCCCTAAACCCTAAACCCTCAACCCTCAACCCTTAACCCTCAAACCTCTACCCTCTACCCTCAGCCCTCAGCCCTCAACCCTCAACCCTCTACCCTCAACCCTCAACCCTCAACCCTCGACCCTCGACCCTCAACCCTCAACCCTCTACCCTCTACCCTCTACCCTCTACCCTCAACCCTCAACCCTCAACCTTCAACCCTCAACCCTCAACCCTCAACCCTCAACCCTCTACCCTCAACCCTCAACCTTCAACCCTCAACCCTGAAACCCTCAACCCTCAACCCTCAACCCCAAACCCTCAACCCTCAACCCCAAGCCCCCGAGCGCCTCCCTCGCTCTCTGCGGCTGCGCTTGCCGCAGAGCTGGCCGCCTGGCAGTTTCAAGCATAGGGTCTAGGGTTTGGGGTTTAGGGTCTAGGGTTTAGGGTTTAGGGCTTAGGGTTTAGGGTTTGGGATTTGGGGTTGGGGTTTAGGGTCGGATTTAGGGTTTAAGATTCAAACAGCCTTTGGGCACAAGGGGTCAGGTTTGGTGTGTAGGGTTTAGGCTTCAGGGTTTAGGGCTTTGGGGTTGTAGGGTTTTTAGGGCTCCGGGGTTTTCAGGGCTTTCAGGGTTTTCTGGCTAAGGGTAGCCTATCAACTCCCACATTTGCCTTCCCGGCTTCTTTCTGACAACTTCATGGTCTGACTTTGCTCTTCAGACGTCGGCCTGATTTGTTGGGTGCGGCGTCTACCTGCCCTCCCCCGAAAGGACTACTCGTGATGGCTGGCCTAGGTGGGGGCTTCCTACAATAGGAGTGCTGTGGGGACCCCTATTTTGGAAAATGCTCACATACCGGAGCAGAAACGGTACCCGGTATGTTTTGCGTTGGAAGGTACGCCTAGCCGGAGAAATTTCGTCAGGCGCTCCAGCACTTAGAGGTTCACATGTAGTTATAAGTAGGGTTACAAGAACCTGAATGAAGGTCAACAGGTTACCTTTCTCAGAGCCCTACATATAATTCCCCATGAAACCCCAAGCATCCCCAAACCCTAAACCCTAAACCCTAAACCCTGAACCCTGAACCCTCTTTATTCCCGACTTTAAAAGAACCGCACGCCATGAAACTTCAAGTAACGACTGCTCCCCCCCCCCCCCCTCATTAGCGCCTCGGAGGAGGGCTCATCCGGGGACGCCATGGCTCCAGAAGGGTGTAGGGTTTAGGGTTTAGGGTTTAAGGGCTTCAGGGCTTCAGGGCTTGGGGGCTTGGGGTTTAGGTTTCAGGGTTTCGGGTTGAGGAGTTGCATCTTAGAATGTCGGTGTCAGGGTGGCTCTTTTCAAGCTGCCAGCTACTCTTTCCCTACGGGGTCTGAAGATCTCAAACCCTAAGCCCTAAACCACCCTAAGTCCTAGACTTCAGGGCTTCAGGCTTTAGGGTTCGTGGGTTGTCGGCCCCTAAGGAGCAACTCTAAAGTATTTTTGGGATCTGAGTATGGTTTAGGGTTTAGGGTCTAGGATTCTAGGATCTTGTGCATAGGTACATTCCTCTAAGCTGAACACCAAAAGCCCCCTACAGAATCGCATAAGTCATGTGGGTAGATTGGTGCGTGGATCGCGTAAGCTTTGGCTACTTCTCAGCCTGACGCTCGAAGTGGCGTGAGGGTAGAGGGTAGTAGGCCTCCTTATGGGGGTTTAGGCGTTAGCCCGAAGTTTCCGGAAACTCTTCCGAGGTCCTGCCGATTGTGGGCGCGTAGCATGTCGTTGTGCCGGCGAGCGCTAGACCCTCAACCCTAAACCCTAAACTCCCAACGTTAGCTCCGGGGGATTTTTCAGAAAGATCTGGGGAGACCCCTCGTCGAGAACTGAAGGCTTAGGGCTTAGGTTCGGGTTTCGGGTTCAGGGTTTAAGACGTGGGCTTTTTTGAAGGGTTTATTTCGGGTTTAGGATGCGCGCCCTCAACCCTGCAAACTGAAAGGCCTGAAAGATGTGAAGCACACACTACAACATGGAAAGGCTTACAAGACCCGAAGCTGTGTGGGCTCCAAGAAGCCCTGACAAACCCTGCCAAACCAAGCACCCTTCTCCTCAGACGCACACAAAGCAAAAGCCTCAAAACGAGCCTCCTCTGCCTCCCCTGCCTCCCCCTCCTCCCCACCCCCAACCTAACCCTGGAGACCAAACCCTAAACACTTGTTAAACCCTACAATCCAACTCCCCTAGTGAGCCTAAACCTTCAACGACAAACCCCCGTAAACCCTGAACCGCAACCCTGAACCGCCTAAACCCTAAACCCATAACCCGTAAACCCTAAGGTTTAGGGTTTAGGGTTTAGGGTTTTAGGGTTTAGGGTTTAGGGTTTAGGGTTTAGGGTTTAGGGTTTAGGGTTTAGGGTTTAGGGTTTAGGGTTTAGGGTTTAGGGTTTAGGGTTTAGGGTGATCGACCGAACAAGCCCCAGAAGGCTCGGCCTGAGCCGGGAAGCCCATAAACTGTACGCCCTACACCCCAAACCCTACACCCTAGAAGCTCCCCACACACGCCCACCCCCACCCCCATTCCACCCCTCCCATAACTAAACCCTAAACCCTAAACCCTAAACCCTAAACCCTAAACCCTAAACCCTAAACCCTAAACCCTAAACCCTAAACCCTAAACCCTAAACCCTAAACCCTAAACCCTAAACCCCCCACTCCCTCCCATGGAGGTCCGGAGATGCTCATCCAGCCCACAACGCAGGGCACCGCGAAGAGCAGGTGCACGAAGGTGGGCGATGAAAGGAGGCTCCTTTGTTAGGGTTTAGGGTTTAGGGTTTAGGGTTTAGGGTTTAGGGTTTAGGGTTTAGGGTTTAGGGTTTAGGGTTTAGAGTTTAGGGTTTAGGGGCTTGAGGTATACGTAGAGGCTCCAGGAACTCAGCAATGAGTCAGAAGTAAGGTAAGGTTACAACTACTTTCAGCTCGGCTGTCCTTGAGAGAAGCTGGCGTTGCCTAGAAATATAAAGAGCTCCAAACCCAAAGCCCCCAAACCCTCAACCCTAAACTCTTTTTGTTTGTGCATTGGGCGGTTCTAGAAGGAACCTGGTTCCTCAAACATAACAGGACCAGGGGGCCCCCAGTTGGCTACCTGTCGCTACTTAGAGGCTCACGTTAGGTTAGGGTTTAGGATTTGTCTAAAACTACCCTAACTTGTGGGGCTATGCCAAGAACGACCTGGCTGATAAACTGTAAACAAAACACTTTCCCATCCTCACCGTGAATATGCAAGTGGTACAGTGGCACCCACAACAGAAGGTGAACAACTGCGTTGACAAAGGTGACTGGCAGTGAAGGGAATTGAGGGAGTACACACGGGGGTGTCCTAATTAGTAGCTTAGGGTACAGACTTGGGGGGCTAGTATTTAGGTCTCAATTTGGGATTAAGAATCGGTGCAGGCTTTAGCTTAGAGAGTGGTGCTGGGGCTTAGAGGCATGGATCGGGGTTTGGGTTTAGGGTTTAGGGTTTAGGGTTTGGGGTTTAGGGTTGAGGGTTTAGGGTTGCATCCAGTAATCTGGGCTTCAACGGAGGAAGCGCCCGCTCCAAGCGGCCTGGACGCCAAGCACAGGCCAGTAGTGAAAGGCAAGGCGGCCACGCACCTGGAAAGTGATGCACGGGTTTAGGGTTTAGGGTTTCGGGTTTAGGGCTAGGGTTTAGGGTTTAGGGTTTAGGGTTTAGGGTTTAGGGTTTAGGGTTTAGGGTTTAGGGTTTAGGGTTTAGGGTTTAGGGTTTAGGGTTTAGGGTTTAGGGTTTAGTGTTTAGGGTTTAGGGTCTAGCACCTGGAAAATGATGAACGTCAAGGAATTAAGACTCGGATCCCTGAGGATGTTCCCCCAAAGAGGTCCCCTCTATATGCTCCTTTTTAATAAAAATATAGCTCTTCTATTCCCTTTGTTTAAACAGTGGCCCCAAACCCAAGGGCACAACCTTAGGGGTCCGAGGTAGAGGCCCATGAGAAAAGGGTTTAGTCGAGTCCCAAGCTTCAGGGCGGCCGTTGACGGTTTTTGCAGCCCCGTAACCATGCTATAATAAGGGTTTAGGGTTCAGGGTTCAGGGTTTAGGGTTCAGGGTTCAGGGTTTAGGGTTTAGGGTTTAGGGTCCCCTTTTTGGGGTTGGCTACTTTGTAAGGTGGCCTTAAACCCCAAAAAATGGGCAAAAGGCTGCGACTGGGCTCCCAAAAGTTAGGACTCAACGCTACGCTGAGCTTTGCCCTGTGAAGGCGGGAGCTTGTAAGGAAACAACTGACAATGCTATGCTTCTAAGGGTAGTTACCTGGTCCCTTAAAAAAGAGGCGAAGGGTTCTGATATCTAGCCCGTGGGGTGTTTAGGGTACATAGGGGGTATTTAAAGGGGTCCCCTATGCAACTTCCCTAAGCTCACAATAGCTCTGGCAGGGTTAGGGGGATTGAGGGTTTGGATTGCGGGTTTTGTTGCGGCTGCGACGCGTCCCGCCAATCCGGATCCAGAGCTGCATACAGATGTCATCCTCGGTGTACTTCCTGCCGGACACCCTACTCCCCAAACCCCAAACCCAAAATCCCAAACCCAAAGCCCTGAACCCTAAACAGCTCAAGGCGCGCAAGGCCCCAAAAACCTTCAGCTATAGAGCCCGTCTAAAAGTTAAGGGCTTCGGGGGGGGTGTGAGGTAAGCTCCTAAAACATTTTTCTGGGTTTAGGGTTCGGGGGTTTAAGGTTTAGGGTTGAGGGTTTGGGGTTTAGGGTTTAGGGTTTAGGCTGTCAAGCCCAGCGGGATTGCCTTGCCTCACAAAAACAAAAAGGTTCTGGGATGCCATCGGCAAGCTTTTCTGGCAAAGGGTTTCGGGTTTGGGTTTAGGGTTTAGGGTTTAGAACGCTAAACCCCAAACCAACCGAGCAATCCTTCTCGATCGCTTGATCTTAACATACCAAGACCTGAACACATCCGGCTTGAAGACCTAACCCTAACAAACAATTTAACAGTCGCACAGAAGGTTGATTTAACGGTGCACATATGGTTGATTTAACGGTGCATGGCTTAGGATACATTCGAAAGAATTTTGGGCGAAGTTGCTGGGTGGCAACCATATATGTAGATGCAACCCCACCCCCTCTCCGGGAATTGCATTAAATAGGCTTGATAGGGGTCGTATTATAGGGTCCTTAAGGGAGAGGGTTCATGGGGGATAGGTGTCTACGGAACCTTGCGGAAGCTTGGAGCCTTGGGGAGTAGTTTGGGGGTATTAGGGAACCATGGGTTACATAGCCTCCTTTGAACTCTCCTCCCCTGAATACAGGCATAGTAGAGGAGAGTGGTGGAGGGGGCTGGTAAGTGCCGAGACCGTCCTTTTCTTCAGTGGCCGAATCAGCAGCTGATTTGCCAGTGACGAGAGAAGGATGCAGCCTCAGAAGCCCCTAAACCCCAATCCCGAAACCCTAACTCTCTCCCAAACCCTCGTCAAGACAACAAACCCTAAAACCCTAAACACCCTAAAGCCCTTTACGATTCATCCCCCCCATTTCCTACTAAGAACAACGGGGGCAAGAACAAGCAGGCGGGAACAACTGATGGCTTTTCGTGTGGGGCCTCGATTTGAGGGTCCATGGGTAGGGTTTAGGGGTTTAGGGGTTTAGTGTTTCCAGGGTTTTAAGGCTTTTTGTGGTTGCAGGGTTTAGGGTTTAGGGTTTTAAGGCTTTTTAGGGTTTAGGGTTTTTAGGGTAGCTAAAAGTCGGGTTACGACTAGGGTAACCTGAATTTTCAAACTCTGTTCCAGGTACTTATAACCCCTGAACCCCTAAACCCTATGAACCTTCAAGTATGCTAGAATCTTCCTTGTGCTTAGGGCTTGGGGTCAGGGTCGAAACAAGTCTGGATAAATCCATAGCTTAGGGTGGTTAAAACCATAGCTTATGGTTTAGGGCTGTGGGGTTTGGGCAGCGGCCTCAACAAAGAGTAACCCAAGATAAAAAAAGGCTACCCTTTTTGGTTTCAAGGGGATTATCAGGGAACCCAAACCCTAACAAAAGCGGAATACTATCCTCCCCTTAGAACCTTAAAAAAAGAGCAATATTTTCAATATCCTCTTTGGTTTTATGTAAACAAAAATAGAATAAGGGTCTACTCTGGGCCCGAGGTCATGCTTTTCGGACTTGGGGTGCAGACTGCCTCGGAGGCTATTCGGCTGAAACTTGCTCCTGGCCTCACCTGCTACGATGTTGCGGGGTTAGACCCTAAACCCTAAACCCTAAACCACTAAGGTTATACTGGTATTGACCAAAATCCTGAACCCTGCACGCCCTAAGGCTTAAGCACTTCACACCATAGACCCGCTGCACCTTACCGGTTCTCGATAGAATGAGGGCATTCTGTATCCGCTATACCGCACATGTACCCTTAATTGCAAGGATTATATAGCGTGCCTAATTCCGGCATTCCCTACTAGAAACAAGTAAGTACTCCTTGAACCCTAAACCCTACACCCCAACCGTAGACCCCAAAACCCTGAACCGCAAAGCTGCATTTCAGGCCCGAGCCGATAGACACGACGTTGGCAAAGTGGAAAGCATCCTCATCGCCTCGGCTGTATAAGGTTGATGGGGTTTGGGGCCTTGGGGGCATGTCCGCATGGTTTAGGGTTTAGGGTTTGGGGTTTAGGGTTTCGGGTTTGGGGTTTAGGGTTTAGGACTTCCTTTGATCGCTCCTCTCTTCTCGCTTGCCAATATTCTTTCTGATCTTCATTGTGGCGTTTTCGTTTCGCTTCTCGGCATTTATTACGTGTCTTGAACCCGTCAAACTCTTCAGCATCCTTTGATGCACAGCACGATTTACACATTGTCTTCTCCATTTTACTATATGAAAAAAGTCTAGACTGTAGACATAGTTAGACTGGATGACAAAAACTCTACAAGATTTCAATTAACATTAGAACATTTATAAGGGCATCGGTCAACAAAAGACATGAAGTGCGGGGAACACCTCGAAACTAAATAACCATTACCGAACTCTTACGGTGTGCTTATGGTACAGCAACACGCGGGGCTCCAAATGATGTCTGCCTGGGACCTACGTTAGTACGTTACGCTGTGAAATATACCAAAACAACTGAATCAGCGGGTTCAGGTTTAGGGCTGCTAAGGTTTCTGGGGAACCCTAAACGTACCCTAGGACCCAAAACCCCCTGAAACCCTTAGGGTTTAGGGTTTTGGGTGTAGGGTTTGGGGTTTAGGGTTGAGGGTTTAGGGTTTAGGGCTAAATGGGCGCAGGGGGCCACAGTGGGCCGCGTCGAAGAGGCAGAGCTGACAGCGCAGGCCGCTGGCCTTCGGGTCTCGGGCTTCGCCGATGTCGGGATTTGAGGAACTATAGGGTTTAGGGTTTAGGGTTTAGGGCCCCTAAACCTTAAACCCTAAACCCTATGGACCCTAAACCCTGAACCTAAACTGTAGGCTGCCCAAAACTCCCTCAACACCCTAAACTCCCTAAACCCTGGCTCTGGAACAGCAGTACCATCAACTGTGTTCAGTTGATGTAAACTGAAGGGTTTGGGGGCCTTAGAAGCACTCAGAGAAAAGGAGGCTCTTAATTAAAACCAAGAAGCTGAGAATCTCAAACATACTCCAAGGGCCTGCGTACTTCGTAAGGTCTATAAACCCCAAAACCCTAAAACCCTAAACCCCGAATCCTACAGCCTCAATAAACCCAAAACCCTGAACGCCAAAGCCTAAACGCAGAGCTGTCCATGAGCCCACGTGTTCTGCCAGGGTGGAAGATTGGGGTTTGGGTTTTAGGGTTTGGTGTTTAGACCCTAAACCCTAAGCCCTGAACCCAAACCCTAAAACCTAAACCCCCAACCCTACTAACCCTCAACCAACTGTCGTAGGGTTTCGTGTTCAGGGTTCGAGCTTGGGCAAGAGGAATTGCGGTACAGGGTTTGCAGATGGGCCTCATAGGGTTTAGGGTTTGGTTGGGGTTGAGGGTTTAAGGTTCCCTAAACCCTGAACCCTAAACCCTAAACCCAAAACCCAAAACCCTAAACCCCAAAGTCTGGGCCCTCAACTCCACAGGCCTCGTACCAACCAAAGAGGTACAGCACGAAGCAGGTCTGCTGCGGGGCATCCTCGCACTGGTGAGGGTTCAGGGTTTAGGGTTTAGGGTTCAGGGTTTAGGGTTTAGGGTTTAGGGCTGAGGGGCATCCTGGCACTGCTGGGAGGTTTCTGGTACTTACTAGCCAATTATCGCTGTACTTCTAGCCAGTTTAGGGTTTAGGGTTTAGGGTTACTGTTCCTATAACTGTACTTGTCACCATATTCGGGCACTTAAGGGGCTCATAAGTGGAAGTACAGTTATAGTTGGTTAATGAGTACCGTGAACCTCCAAGTGGTGACTTAAAGCCCATCGCCAACGTCACGGCCCTGCGTGGCTCAGAGGGTATTCTGGGTTTGGGGTTCAGGGTTTGGGGTTTAGGTTTTAACCCTAAACCCTAAACCCTAAACCCTATTACGGGGTTTAGGGTCCCTAAACCCTATAACCCTACACCGGAAACCGTAGGGTCTGACGTCCTTAAGCACAACAGCCTGAACTTTCATCCCGACAAAAACCCGTCAGTTTAGGGTTTAGGGTTTAGGGTTAGGGTTTAGGGTTTAGGGTTTAGGGTTTAGGGTTTAGGGTCTAGGGTTTAGGGTTTAGGGTTTAGGGTTTAGGGTTTAGGGTTTCGGGTTTACGGTTTACGGTTTAGGGTTCAGGACAAAACCCTGAAAACCCTAACAGGTCGAAACCAAGTCCGCTTCTTTCGGGTTCGAGCCTCGGCCTCACTTACCAGCCATTTTTTAGCCGTAGGGTTTAGGGTTTAGGGTTTAGGGTTTAGGGTTTAGGGTTTAGGGTTTAGGGTTTAGCTATAGATCTTCGTAGGAGTAAGGGACTTGGGGCATCTTCTATCCCCCCTTTTTTTGCGCTGTACCAAATAGGGTACCTTCTTCCCGAATTACCTTCTAAGAGCTGGCAATCGGAGCTCGGGTGTGAAAGAGGTCAGGGCTTCAGGGTTTTTAGGGTTCTTTTGAGTTTTGCTTAGGGTTTTTAGGGTTTTTAGGGTTCTTTTGAGTTTTTTTTAGGGTTTTTAGGGTTTTTAGGGTTTTTAGGGTTTTTAGGGTTCTTTTGAGTTTTTTTTAGGGTTTTTAGGGTTAGGCCAGCACGCAACAGCCTGGAAGGGCGGTCCTGCAGAAAGAACTTGAGAAGAACGACCATGTGAAACCTCAAGATGTGGGATGGTTGGGTTTTCCCTCAACCCTAAACCCTAAACCCTAAACCCTAAACCCTAAACCCTAAACCCTAAACCCTAAACCCTTAGACAAGTCCCCCATCGTCCGTGGACTGGCTCAGGGGTTCAGGGTTTAGGGTTCAGGGGTCCCCGGAGCCTCCGGATGTTGATGCTTCGGGTCTCGAGCGACTGGCGCACGGCATACACCTGCAGGCTGTCAGTGTAGGTTTAGGGGTGGGTTTGGGTTGGCATATTCCCCCTTAGAAGTCCTCAAGGGGGACTATAGTACTATAGTACCCCCTACTAAAAGGACTGTTCGTACAAGGGGGGTTTTTCCAAGGTTTGGGGTCAAGGGATTACAAAACATGACTACAATAAATTTAAAAGAACAATGTGTCCACTCAGTAAGAGACAAACACAATTGTGTGCTTTTTTAATTAGAGGAGGAAGAGGAACTACACCAATAAGATTTTGTGGCTATGCATCACCAAAATTGAATGCAAAAACACATACATATATATATATATACATACTGAGCATTCAGAATCAATAATAATAATAATAATCATCATCATCAGTTGCAACACTTTAAATCACAATATGTTCCAGCGAAAATCGTTTATACAATGATGAAAAAGTGTTTTAAAAATCTTAAAAAATAACGGAAACAATAAATTTAAATGGTATGTATCAATTCTTACAAGTATTACGTATGAGATTTCTGAAAATTTCGATGGGTAGCAGACTGTGGGCTTCGTCAGGATAGGGTTGAGGGTTTAGGGTTTATGGTTTAGGGTTTGGTCAAACCCCTCTCAGTGTCTCTTGCTCCACATTCACACCTCCGGGAGGAACTGGAAGGAACCTAGGCCCAAGAGTAACCTAGGAATCGCAAGGGTAGCCTTTTGGACTTAAAAAGGGCTTCATAAGAGAACCTAAACCCAAAACAAGTGGAATAAGGGCCTACTCTGGGTCCTAAGGAACATGGTGTAGCTTGCAAGGTCCGTAGACCAAAAGCAAAGTGCCACCCGCATCCCCCAACCCTCATGCCCTAACCCTGAACCCTGACACCCTAAACCGTTTAAGGTTTAGGGTTCGGGTAGGGCTTGGGGTTTGGGGTTTGGGGTTTGGGGTTTGGGGTTTGGGGTTTGGGGTTTGGGGTTTGGGGTTTGGGGTTTGGGGTTTGGGGTTTGGGGTTTGGGGTGTGGGGTTTGGGGTTTGGGGTTGGGGGTTTGGGGTTTGGGGTTTGGGGTTTGGGGTTTGGGGTTTGGGGTTTGGGGTTTGGTGTTTAGGGTTTAGGGTTTAGGGTTTAGGGTTTAAGGTTTAGGGCAACAAGAAACAGCAAAAGCACAACACATAGAGAAGACCCCCCGGAATTGACAACAGAGCCCCGGCCGCCGCAGCTCCCACCAGAAGGAACATCCCCAGGAGGAAGCGGCACCTGGATGTTTAGGGTTTAGGATTTAGGGTTTAGGGTTTAGGGCTAGGGCCTATAGGCTCGAACCACAGAACTTCGGGTTTCGGGTTCAGGGTTTAGGGAAGACAGGGTTTCTCAGCAGCTTTTGTGAGGGTTTAGAGGGTCTATAGGGGTTGGGGGGTGTATGGGGCTTGTAGGGTTTACCTTGGGATGCTCCCCTTGTACTAACAGCCCTTATGAGGGATTATAAGAGGGTTTGGGGGGGGGGGGGGGTACTATAATCAGTATTAAGGACTGTTAGTATAAGTGGGAACATCCCAACGTTGATCGTTAAGTGGTAAAGTGCCCTAAACCCTAAACCCTAAACCCTAAACCCTAAACCCTAAACCCTAAACCCTAAACCCTAAACCCTAAACCCTAAACCCTAAACCCTAAACCCTAAACCCTAAACCCTAAACCTAAGTGGAGAGCTTTTGCGTTTCAGTGCGGAGATTGGTGCAGGCCTCCCTTTACAGGGCTTGTTCTCAATGGGGACCCCCCTTTCATCCCCAGGGTTTAGGGTTTAGGGTTTAGGGTTTAGGGTTCAGGGTTTAGGGTTTAGGGTTTAGGGTTTAGGGTTTAAACCCTACACCCCTACAGCTTTTGCAGCAAAACCGGGGGGCCCCAATTTCGAACAACCCCCCACGTGAAGCCTTAAAGATTTGAAGGGTCAATCGTGCTCTGTGGTCTAAAGACTTGAGGGTTTCCAAACATGAGGGTCCTCCCTTTACAACCCCTATAGGCTAGTAGAACCCTAAACCCTAAGCCCTAAACCCTAAACACTAAACCCTAAACCCTAAACCCTAAACCCTCAACACTAAGGACCCTCAAAAAGGGAAGCCCTAATTTCGGAAACCCACACTCGATTGCAGCCACTGTAGGAGTGAGACCGGACATTGGAGATATCGGCTCACTGTGTCCTTGAGTATGTCTGCTGCCTCCTGTGGGTGCCTTAGTTGCCGAGTTTCGGGTTTAGGGTTTAGGGCTTTAGGGTTCATAATCCCCCCCCAACCCAAAAGTGTTCACTTTCAGTTCAATAGGGCACGATAGTATCCCAAAAAGTGTACAGTGTACTCATTCAGCTGCTGAGGTGCTTCACAGGCTTTGACAAAGGGTAGGAACGAGTCTGGGTTCCTGCTGACGAGGATGGCAAGCTTGGCATAGTGATGTCTTCACCTTCTTTTCCTCCATCCAAAAAGGCCTGCTCTTCATCCGTGAGGGAGAACATTCTGCGCCTTTCCGCCTGGCTCATTGCGTCCAGGAAGGACTTCTCTTTTGGGTTGAGAAAAGGCGAGTCGATTCCGTGCGGGTGGTCCAACAATGCGAGTTGGAGACGCTCCGTGAGTGAAGTGCACTGCATGTTGCACAGCTTCGGCTTGAGATTCTTAAGGAAGTTGTGGGACGCCTCATCTTCCTCCCATTCGTCACCGCCACAAGGATAGAAACTCATGTGGAACTTGCCCATGTCGGCCATGTGTGCCATCATGCGCTGCGCTGTCGTCTCGCTTGGAGTAGATGCGGCAGGGGGAGGAGGGAAACTCTCCAAAAGGCTCGATGTTGTCGAGCCAGCAGACTGAGTTGCCGGCGTCTGCAGCCCAGGAACGAGAGCTGGCTGCAGTCCTGGCACCATCGGAGTATCACTGCTCACCTGGGTTTAGGGTATAGGGTTTAGGGTTGAGGGTTTAGGGTTTAGGGTTTAGGGTTTTGGTCTTGAAACCACCTGAACAATATTGATATATAGGGTCCATTAGAAACCCCAAGAAGGAAACACAAAATGTCCCAAAAACCAACCTGGTCACTTCCTCCATGGGTTCGGCTGCAGCCCAGGCACCCTACGAGGGGCCTCTTGAACTACGACTCTTCACCTGTGCCCTAAACCCTAAACCCTAAACCCTAAACCCTAAACCCTAAACCCTAAACCCTAGGCGAACCAATTACGTCTGAAGAAGTCTTGCTTGCATGTCCTGTCAAAGACCTGGAGGGCATTGTGATGCTACAGCGGTTGCATCTGAGCCAGGCACGTCCGACAGATCATCAGCTCAAAAAGCCCTAAACCCTAAACCCTAAACCCTAAACCCTAAACCCTAAACCCTAAACCCTAAACCCTAAACCCCTAAACTTAGCTTTGGAGTAGACCCTGGAAAAAAAGTATACACTTTTTAGGTATAAGTAGCTGAAATAGGAACCCAGAACCAAAAAAAAAGTATTAAAGTATAGTACTCCAAAACCCAGATCATATTGCGAGTGAAGACACCCCGATACCGAAACCGTCATGTCATGTGATTAACTCAGCCTGTTGAACACGCAGTAGATAGCTGCTAAAGAACTGGCATAGACTAAGGTGGAGGGGAGCAGACCCTTCAAAGAGTTCCCACTCCTGTACTTACAATGCTGAGAGCGAAGAGTGTGCCAACCCAGCAATCCCAACTTCTCCCTTGTACTGCCTAAGCTCACGTTTTCGCTTCCCTTTCAGGTTGTCTAGATACTTCCCCGACTAGCCGTCTACCCCGCCTCCCCCTCCTACTCCCCCCCCCCCCCCCAAACCCTGAACCGTAAACAAAAGTTTAAAAAACCCTAAGGGGAATATAGATGAACCTTCAAGTAGCAACTCCCAGCTGCAGATGCTGTCGGCCACTGCGACATGGCAGGCCGCAGATGGTATGGCGTCTCGTCCCCGGTTTGGGGTTTAGGGCCTAGGGTTTAGGGTGACGACAGTAAATGAAGCAGCTGCTGCGTTCCTGACCCTGGGTGTAGGGTCTAGGGTTTAGGGTCTCAGGCTGCGTATGCATTCTGGCGGCAGCCGGCTCAGGGCATACCAACCTAAATCCTGAATCCCTGACCCGTACTGGTACCCGGCTGGCAGAACCCTACCCTAAACCCCATAGACCCCGTAGACCACATAAACCTAAACCCCATAAACATCATAATCATCATAAACCCCATCAACTTCATGAACCCCGTAAATCCCATAAACATCATCAACCCCATAAGACCCCATAGACCCCATAGACCCTAGCCACAAACCCTAAACCCCAAACCCTAGCCCTAAACCCTAAACCCTCAACCCTCAACCCTAAACCCTAAATCGTGAACCCTAAACCCTAGACCCTAAACCCTAGCCCTAAACCGTAAACCCGAAACCCTCAACCGAAAGCCGCCCGTGAGCTTCCGACCAGGACAGCGCGCGGTGGCTTCGTCCCTGGTGCTGCCTGTTGAAGGCCTGCACTGTCCCAATTAGAAGCTGCTCAGGGTTTGGGGTTTGGGGTTTGTGGTTTGTGGTTTGGGGTTTGGGGTTTGGGGTTTGGGGTTTAGGGTTTAGGGTTTAGGGGGGCTTAGGGTTTAGGGGCTTAAGGTCGCGGGCTTGGGATTCAACACTAAGAATATATGCCCAAACTTCTCATCGCCGTCTTCAAAACGAAGCCCTAGCAAGGGTATTCTCGCATCGTTACCGTCTCACACTCCTGATACATGCAGTCCTACATCCCAAAATCTAAGCCCACTAGAAAGTAAGACCGACAGCCACAAGGTCACCTCAATGCCCAACATCAGGACACCCCATAAGTTGGATAGTCCAGGAGTTGATGGTTGTCGTTTAGGGCTTAGGGTTCGGGGCTTAGGGTTCGGGCTTAGGGTCCTAGAGCCCTAGCACCACCGGATCTTACCTATACTCCCCTTAATCAAAATGATATGTTTAATACCCTGTATAGTTACATCTCGAAACCCCAACATCCCAAACGCACAGCCTTGAAACCCATCAAAACACACGAGCCCACCAGTCCAATGCGCCCAGGGCGCAAGATTCGAAACCCCTTCCCAAAAAACTAGATAAAGCCAAAGGTCTCTAGAAGGTAACACTAGACCCAAGAGGAACCCGGGATGAAAAAGGGTGCCCCTTTTGGTTCGAAGGTGCTTCTAAGGGAGCCTAAATCCTAAACAAACAGACCTACTCTGGGTCCTCGCACCTCTAAACCCTCAATCCTAAACCCGAACGCGCTTAAGCCTGGGATCTACAGTGACTGCCGTCAGACATCCCGCTCATGAGTGCCTGAACTTACCTTTGGACCCTGAACCCTAAACCCTAAACCCTTTTTAGGGCAGAGGGTTGTGGCTTCTTCCTGATGCACTGAAAGGTGTGGGCCGTCCTTCCACGAGGTGCCAAAAGAGCATTGCGGATGCCTTGGGAGCAACGGTTTAGGGTTTAGGGTTTAGGGTTAGGGTTTAGGGTTTAAGGTTTAGGGTTTAGGGTTTAAGGTTTAGGGTTTAGGGTTTAGGGTTTAGGGTTTAGGGTTTAGGGTTTAGGGTTTAGGGTTTAGGGTTTAGGGTTTAGTGTTTAGGGTTTGGGGTTTAGGGTTTAGGGTTTGCTGTGATAGGGCGTAGATGCTGTGAAGGTTAGGTTTCGGAACAAGCTCGAAAGCTTCGTGAGGTGCGAAAAGCAGCATTGGCCCGATTGTGGAGGGCCATCTAACACTTTTCTCCCACCCCACGCCGTCCAAGGCGGCAAAGCCACCCAAACCTATCCCTTTTAGGGTTTAGGCCTAAACTCAGACAACAGCCCACTTCTAAAAACTTAGCCAGTGTCAGGGAGGGTTGCAGCAAGTTTCAGAGGGGCGGGTTCTTAGTCAGGGACCAGCCGGCTGTGGGCAGGGGCCAAGGGCCGGGGCAGGGGGGGCCAGGGGGGGCACAGAGAAGGTCAGAAAGCACAAAAAAACACTTTTTGAGCACCCACCCTGCCTGGACCAGCTTGAGACCCCCTGCTCCCTGGACACGCTGCGGCGAGGGGGTCCGGGTCCTCCAGCCCGAATGCCAGCCACCTTCTGGCACAAGGGGGTTGGGGTTTCGGGTCATTACATTATTGTACTGGTCCCGAGGAGAACGTGTTCCGGTACCGGGCCCATCGTGGGCGCTACCGACCCCCATGCTGTGGCGGGCGAGCGACCTGGGTCGGCTTGTGCCATCGAGGTCAAAGGGCTTACCCCCCAACGTAGGGGGGCGGCCTAGGCCCTGAGTTTAGGGTTTAGGGTTTAGGGTTAGCTTCAAGGGTTAAGGGTTAAGGGTTAAGGGTTAAGGGTTAAGGGTTAAGGGTTAAGGGTGAAGGGTTAAGGGTTAACGGTTTAGGGTTTAGGGTTTAGGGTTTAGGGTTTAGGGTTTAGGGTTTAGGGTTTAGGGTTTAAAGTTTAGGCGCTCGCGTTGCCCGTCAACCCACCCCGGCCACCCAAACTATACTCTATTGGGGTTTAGGGTTTATTGGCTTTCACCTTGTGCACCGATGCTTGCTTTTATGTTTTTAAAGTTGCGGTGTTAGGCTTTAAGCTGGGGTTGGGGGTAGCCTCAGCCCGCTTATATAACCCCTATGTGCCATGGACCTTTAGGTATAATGTGAGGTCTTGTCCTTTTTTCCCCATTAAAACCATTGAATGCTCTATGCCTGAAGCATGTCAGAGTTGGGTTTATGGCTTAGCAAGCTCACTCATCCTTGGAAACAAGTCGGAGGGGGCCTTTCTCTTTTTCAAGAAAAATCAAATAATTATGAAGTAACACAATAGCGAGTCACCCCCCTCCTCGTGGCCTCTCGTCGCTTTCTCACAAGTCCAAGTTATGGAAGGAACCGCCGGAAAGATGAAAAGAATAGGAAGGGAGAGATAAGAGAAAGAGAATTCCGCCCCCCTCTCCAAAACCTTCTTCATTCCTCTCCTCTCTTCGTCTCTTCTCTTTGCTTCTTCTTTTCTGACAACAGTGGGAAAGGGAAGGAATGAAAGAGCAGAAGGAAGGCAGGCGCAAATGGGCCTCCTTTTGTGCGCCCGTCCTCCTTGCCTTTTTGTCTGCCTCGATGTGGCAAAGCTGAGCAAGGGAGGGGGGGAACGACAGGCTCTCCGTTCCCTTGTCTTGTCGTGTATTCCCGGAGAGTTGCGGGAAGACTGCGGGGGCCTTTTTCCCGCTTCTCCTTTCCTTTCCTTTCCTTGCCTTTCCTTTCCTGCGCTTTCATAGAAACAGGAAGAACAAGGAAAAAAGACAAAGCAGAAACAAAAAAGAGGTCATGCCCCCGCCTATGGGCCTATGTCTACTTTCTCCTCTCTTGCTTTCTGCTCTTCAGTTTCTGGACTCTGATACGTAAGAAATGTCCGCGACAGGGGGGAGCGTTCCTTTCCCAGGCTTTCTTCCCTGTCTCCTTATCAATGAGAAAAATTCATGAGGGGGAGGAAGGAGAAGTGGAGAGTGAGAGCGAGGGACAAGGAGATGGAGAGAGGAAGAAAGAGAATGAGAGAATGAGAGTGAAAGAGAGAGGAAAGAGAGAGGAAAGACAGAGAGAGAGAGAGAGAGAGAGAGAGAGAGAGAGAGAGAGAGAGAGAGAGAGAGAGAGAGAGAGAGAGAGAGAGGGTGTAGGTAGATAGATAGATAGATAGATAGATAATGAAGAGGAAAGGCGAGCAGCCGCAAGGCGTGGCAACTTTCTGCTGTTTTCCTTTCCACTTCAGTCTGTTCTTCCTC